TATTGAGCCAATCCCAGAGCCGGATCGGAGGAAGTACCTGCCGCCCTTCCATCAGCCATTCGCCCGAGGTCGGATCCGAATTCGGACCCGACTAGGATAGGTATATATTGAGACACTCCCTGTAGCTAGCTCTGTAGACTTTTGATATCCTTTCGTACAAGGCCTATAGGTGGCTTGTTGAATCTAGGCTCTTTGTGATCCCACGCACTCCCATATGCCTCTGAGTGATCCTACGACCGAAACAGATCCGACCTGCCTTACCTGCGCCGTTACAGCTATGCCGCAAAAGCACTCCCTAGCAGGACGGAAAGTTTGGTTACTTAAAGCCCCTACCTGTGCCTAGTCGTACGTGGCAGTACCTTACAGTTAATTTTATTATAGGCCTTCCTAACTCTCTTAGAAACACAAACTTAATAGTAGTAAAGGACTAATTAGGGAAAGGCGTTGTACTAGTCCCTATAAACAAGATTAAGATAATAGACGTTGCTTGGGCTTTCGTACAAGAAGTCTACCGCCACTACAGCCTTTTATAGTTTATCACGTCCAATTACGGCCTCTAGTTCGTAAGCTAACTATAGGAAAACATCTGCAAGCTGCTAAATATTTAGCGGAACCTCTCTACAGCTTACTACCTACAAATAAATAAGATAACAGAACAAGCTAATAGCAACATAGAAGTAGTTGTATAGATCTTTTACAACTACAACTAAGATAATTAGGCTTAGCTTTGCCCTCTTTTAGAACTTATGCTTAACTTTTGTATAAACGCCTCTATAGGTGTATCCCCCTTCTTTCTCTACTATAGTTACTATAATACCTTGTTTCCCTAAAAAGAAGCTATCTTAGATAACTAAGAAGCAAGTGTAGCAGCTAAAGAGATAGTACGTATAATTAGTGATGCGGCAAACTAGGTAGTTTTAGTAATGTCGTACGCCTAATAAGAGTAAGAGAAGTAAGCAAATAAATCTTGCAAACTATCGCCTACTTATAAAGTAGGAGACTAGGTCTAGCTAGACTTACGCAACGTATAAATAGCCTAGATAAGTAAAAAGCTAGACTAGAAAAGTAGAAAGTACTAAGTCGCCTACGTATAGGACCCCTACTAGGTAGAACTCGCGGTATCTTAGGAAACAAAATCCTTCCACGTAGATAAGCTAAGGCTAGCATCTAACAACCCCTTGCTATTATAATAAATAGATAATAGTAGCCCTACAGCTATTGTCGTACAAGAAGATAGAGAAGAAGAAAAAGACTATTTAGAATAGCTCGTACAAGGCATCATGGACAAACGAATGCAAAATAGAGAACTACAATATCTCGTTATTTAGATAGGCTACCTAGAGGGAAGTTAGGAACTAGCTATAGCACTTAAAGACACAAAGGCCCTAGATAAATAGCTCGCCTAAACTTCCTCTGTACGAAAACCTAATAGCTAGCTACAAAATAGCTAGAGGCGAAAGCTACTTAATAAGTAATAGAGACCTAGCGCTACCCTTAGAGGCTAAACGATCCCTTTTAGTGCCTAGAAGACAACGCTTAGCTAGCGTATAGATAGACGAACTATCCCCTCCTTCTGCTAAACAACAGGCGCTATAGTCCTGCTAGATGCAATTGCTACACGCACCCTTTTACTCTTTATAGATAGAGACATAACTAGCAAAGGCTATAAACTCCTTCACCCTATCTAAGAGTAGCGCATAGTTATTATAAAATGTAGTATTAAGGGCGCTACGCGAATAGACAAGGAAGGCCTTAAGGTATAAGAGTTGGCCACCTAAGATTTAACGGGCATAGAGCGTTGTACGGGCGACAATAGGCGAATAACCACTAAGGCTAGGACTAAAGGTAGCATCGTAGGGCAACAGCCCCCTTAGATAGTAGAACATATTAAAGACCTAGCAAAGCTTAAGCTACACTAGTTAGCTAATTTAGACATATAATAAGAAAGCAACACTTATAGAAGTAGTAGTAAACACTTAGTAAATCTCTTTAGCAACCCGCACGTTAAAAATATACTAGACCTAGTAGTTGTTAAGGTTAACCTATCTGATAATAATAGGCGCTATAGCCTAGATAGCAACTAGCGTTGTACAAGTAAGCAACTAATAAGCAACGTTAAAGATCCAAGTAGTTGCTTACTTAATAGTGTTATTAACTCCACTATTTGTGCAGAAACGTAAGGCGTTAACTTAGCTATTAGCCTACATCCCACAATTAGCTATTATATAAGAAGACTTAAGGAAGTAACTACAATAAGAGAAAAGTTAAAGCTAAAGGGATAGAGGAAACAAGCAGTAGGTAGGGGAAGAAGAGTATTTATACTCGCTAGACAGCGTTTGCTATATAGCACTATTGCCTAACTCTCTCTTACCTTTACTATTTGCCTTTACCTTAACTATACAAGACGCCAAACATGTGATAGCAAACAAACAAAGAGAAAGAAAAAGAAGACTAAAGAATACGCACGTGATATTAGACGAGGTGAAGGAGGGGAGTATTGTAAAGGGCTACGCTAGAGAGGTATGACCTACAGGTTATATAGTAGTAAATCACATAACTTTAGTTACGTAACTAAATAACGTAGTTAGCTACGTATAAATAAGCTTAAGTAAGGAGGAAGACTAAAGGTCTGAGCGTTTGTACGAGTAACAACTATAAAAGGAGGGCCCTCTAGATAGTTCTTTTCTATATCTTTCTTCTTCTGTACAATAGGTGAATGCATACTTGTTTGTTAGGCCTCTCTCGCCTATAACAGTTGCTACTACGCTTTTTTAATAGTTTATTAGCTATTACTTAAACGTTAAGCTTTGTAGGCGCAAATCCTTACGTAGACTCTTTAAGAATACGCTTAACTATAGCCTCCTCTTCTAGCTTATCTAGACGCTTTAATTTTAGCTTATAGTTCTATTAAGGGCGCTTTCTAGCGTGTTAATTAGATAGAGTTCTTTATAGGACGTTATAGATAGTGGTAGCATAGTTTACACTCTAAACACGTTATAACTAGACATTAAAAAGAGTAAATTAAAGATTAGATTTAGAATATATTAATAGATAGTTGCGTTGTTAAGACATCACGCGTTATAGTAATGAAGTTGATAGGCTAGTAGGGCGTTAGCGACTCGCTTGGGTTAGCGACTCACTTGTGAACCACGTTATACTATAATAAGTTCTAAGGTTAACTAAGTAGGTATTATAGTTTTTGTAATTTAGTGTTCGCGATTTGGTTTCCGACCTTCGTAGTGTAATAGTCCGCCGTACAGGCGCAACCAGGACGCAAAGCCCGCCGTCATCACACATGGACGTAGCAGTAGATTAACCCACCACGCCCCCTGGCGGCGTGCGTCTAGCCGCACACATCAGCACCGGCATACGAGATGGGCGCTGTCACCCACGCGCGAGGGCAGAGGCTGATTGGGTGCGTAGTTGGAGGACCATCTCTACACAGCCACGCGCTGCAGCAAAGTCGCCCGTCGTCGCATTCGCACAGGCGCATGGGTGTTGCATACTTTGCACTAACGCAGCCTGCAGAAAACAGCAAAAAGGCGCACAATGGTTGCCTTGTGTGTGAAGCCGTCGTGTCGGGAGGCCGCCCACACAACCGCATCGTCGTCATGGGCGGAGCCGCCTCTGCCATCGCCGCGACGAGCAGACCGGTTTGCCGCCGTCGTCTTCATCTTCTCTCTCTCTTAATTTGAGCTTTTCCGTTTCTGAGCTCTCCCGACTCGGCGTCACGGGAGCGGCGAGTTGACGTTCGCGTGCCTGGGCAAGCCTCCTTACCTCTTCCTTACACCGGCTGGCTGGCAGCACAGGCCCGTGCGCCAAGAGGAACGAAACGGAGGACCTCGCAGGCCCCGAGGACTTGCTGCATGACTTTGCCTGCCAGCACAGGGGACTGGCCGCCGGTCAATTACTGGATTGCGTCTACTAATGCCCACACGCGCGCCTCTTCTTCTCTAGAACCGTCTGCGCACTGCGTGACCTCAGGCAAGCCCAAGGTATGTTTGGCCCCAGTTTTATCAGGCCTCTCTTTTCCCCGAGAATGTCTTACCTTTTAGCTTTACTGCTTGGAGCCTGAGGGATCAGTCTCCCGGGAAGGAATCATGCCAAAATGACATGTCAATGCTTTGGGCAGCCATTGAGCGTGCTGACTAGTGGCAGCGAACATGTCCCGCTACTACTCCAGCAGAGACTACCAGCAGCCCTTCGACTCTGCTTTCAGCCATTCGCAACGACAGTACCATGTCCAGGTGCCCCAGCTTCGCGTCAGCACTGCAGAGCAAACGCAGCAATGGGATCCATCGGTGCGACCTCGAAGCGTGCAAGACATGAGGGAACAGACGTACAGCCCAACTGCGTCTGTACATACCACAGGAACCAGTCCCAACACACGCTTGGCAGACCGAGCCTTTTATTCCCATTCAAACCTCTTTCCAAACACCTATGTTAACCCTAGCCTACAAGGTGGCTCGTCCATGCTCACTCCTGACTACATCTCTCGTGGATTCAACCCAAGTGCACAAGAAGAGTCATGGAGTTCTTTCAATATGAGGAGCACCGAGAACAGAGTAGTGCGAACTCCACCTCGTCAGTCTAACGTCGACTTTCAAAGTTACTCTCGCATAGCATCTGATGTTGATAAAGGTGCTGTGCTCTCTGACGAGGGCTACTTCTCGCAACAGACAAGCCAATCAGTGCTCGGCAATGCGCCCGATCGTGCCAGTCAGGACTTGACAATAGATTTTCTGAGCCAGATAGGACACATGAATGTTGATTCCACGGTGAGCGAAGCAACAGTGTCGCATGTAGCTTCGGATCAAAAGTCTCGTGTGAGCAGCACTCGTAGCCGCCGATCAAGTAACAGACCCACCAAATGCGAATATCCTGATTGCAATGAGATATTTAGATGTCCATCAGAATACAAGTGAGTAGGCCCTGGCTCTATCACATGCCTCACAAATGCTTATCGTCCCACAATAGGAAGCATTCGCTCAAACATGAAAAGCCATTTAAATGCGATGCACCCAAGTGCAGGCGAACCGAAGTAGGATTTGCAACGGTAAACGACCTCGATCGACACAGGAAGAGCGTTCACAGCATTGATCTGGACCACAAATCCTACAAGTGCGCAGCAAAGAACTGTAAGAGCAAAGACAAGCTATGGCCGCGTCTCGACAACTTCAAGCAACATGTTCATCGAATGCACGCTGAAGAAGATGCGGCTGATATCATCGAGAGGTAAAGTTGCCTGTGCCGCTTTCATGGATGAGCTAATATGACTAGATCCAAATGGTGCCCAGAAAAGCTACCCTATTCCATCATCGAGGAGTCTGCTGTAATGCCCATGGATACCAACTTGGTTCTTTCCGGAATGGAAAAGTCTTTTTCAACCAACGCAGATATGCGTAACATCTCTTCACTTGATTTTTCCTCGCAACAGGATAGTCAGCAGTGGAATCCGGCCGACTGGAAGCTAGATCCTACCAAAGAAGGGCATCGAATTTCTCACAATCCAAGCGAGCGTGTCTCTGCAAATCAAACTGCTGCTTCTCAGAGGCTACAGCGTGTGCAGCGCCGAGCAGCGGCGTTGTCGGCCCAGCAAGCACAGACTTCTCCCCCTGTTACTGCAATGAATATCGCACCAAAGGAAAATGTACCCCAGGTTGCTAAGCTGAAAATTGACCATCACTTGTCCAACGCACCACAGACAAAGGCCGAGCAACAACGACTGGCCCAGAAACGCTCCGTTGCTAAGACCTCTTCTCTTAATGCTGTCGATCTTTCCAATCTTATTCTCAACATCATACAAAAAGCCAACGGCTCAGGAAAGCAAGACGAGAAATCGATAGAAAATGTGCCACTGGGACCAGAGACTCTATCTGACTCAGAAAGGGTGATTCTGACTAAGCGCGGTGTGTTGGAAGCATCGCAGGAAATCATGAAGCTCATCAGTCAAAACTCGGAACCTGTACAGCGGGCGTTGCGCCGGTCTGGCAAGAGCAGAGCTTGCCCAATTGATGGCTGCGGTTTCACTGTTGCCCGGGACTGTGAGCTGCGGAAACACATGAAGCGGCATGAGAGGCCGTATGGCTGCACGTATCCACAGTGCGACAAGCGTTTTGGCGCGAAATCAGATTGGAAGCGCCACGAGAACAGCCAGCATTACCAGCTTGAAGCTTTTCGATGCGCTCATGAGTTATCTCCCGGTGCCGTCTGTGGATTCCATGCGCATCGACGAGGACCGTTTCTAGACCATATAGAGACACACGGGCTCTCTGATAAAGACTCACAGGACCTCGTCGAGCGCAGCACGATTGGGACAAACTGTCAGGGATCCTTCTGGTGTGGCTTCTGTACAGCTGTGATCCGACTCACCAAGGAGCGCAACAAAGCATGGGATGAGCGCTTCCGCCACATAGCTCATCACTTGGAGCAGGAAAAGAAGAACATTGGAGACTGGGTGTGTGCCGAAGTGAACAAGACGAAGAGGGAGCTGCTGGAGGAGAGGATGAGAGAGAATTGCAATGATGGTGATGAGAAAGAAGAGGACAGGGATTCCGATTCTGCTACTGAAGAGGATAGTGATAACTCGCCCCCACCAGCACCTCCGCCACCTCCACCACCAGAACGCGAGCCTTGGAGACCCACTTCGAGGGATGCCGTCACCTTGCAGCCACAGGCTTTTGGTCAAGACAACAGCAGAAAACGAGCAGCGCCCGCCGCGCTCGATGCATTCTACCCGTCTGACAGGCAAAAGAAGACAAGGACGGAGATTTACAGGTACTGTGTACGTATATGCGCAGCACATAATGCCATATTAAAGCTAATTCTGGTAGTGTTCATGTGGGAGCGGCCCGTGTAGCTCGCTGCAAGCAGCTTGCATTGGATGTGAGCATGAATTCTGCAGTAATTGTGGTGAAGAGCAGGTGTGGGATTCGATGGACCTTTAGCCGTGGTGCTGCGCTGTGATGTGGCGGTTTATTCCTGCTTCAAGATACCCCGACATATTTCCTTTTTCTTCAAACTCTAGACATAAGCAGAACGGCCGCATGGACTGGCCTTGTGAAATCAAGATAAACTTTCAGCCGTGGTCCCCCAACAACGTTGTGCGGCGGAGCTGGGCGGGCAGGCGGGCGGGCGATGACATGCATGTCGGCGAAACGAAGCGCCGAGGCGCGGAGTTGGAAACGTGTGCTGATGATAGCTCGCTCGAAAGCTACGTGACGCGGCCTTGCGACCAACAAACCACTCCTTTTATACCCTTTCCCCCCTCCCTTCCACCTGCAACTATGGCTGCCGCCGCAGATGAAGGGCAGTTCCTCAAGCAGGCGACCGGCCGGAACACTCGAGGCTTGCTCCGAGTGATTATCCTGTGCCTGATTGCGGGCGCCGCCGTGAGCAGCCGTCTGTTCTCCGTGATTCGCTTTGAGAGTATCATCCACGAATGTCAGTGCAGCAATGGCAGGACGCATTGGATCAATTGGCTGATGAGATTGTGTAGTCGATCCCTGGTTCAACTTCAGGGCCACAAAATACCTGGTGCAGAATGGCTTCTACAGCTTCTGGGACTGGTTCGATGACCGTACGCTCCTCCTCCGCCCCACGCCTTGGGATGCCGAGCCCACGGCCTCGCAAGGCGACTGCAAAGACGACAGCATGGACTAACATCACCTGCAGGAACATGGCACCCTCTGGGCCGAGTGACGGGCGGTACTCTCTACCCCGGATTGATGGTTACCAGCGGTGTCATCTACCACCTCCTCCGCGCTCTCGCCCTCCCCGTCGACATTCGCAACATATGTGTCCTCCTGGCACCCGCCTTCTCGGGCCTCACGGCGCTCGCCACGTATCTCCTGACATCCGAGATGGTCCCGTCGCCCTCGGCTGGTCTGCTCGCGGCCGCCTTCATGGGCATCTCGCCCGGCTACATTTCGCGATCCGTCGCAGGAAGTTACGACAACGAGGCCATTGCCATCTTCCTGCTTGTCTTTACCTTTTTCCTGTGGATCAAGGCGGTCAAGAACGGATCCATGTTCTGGGGCGCTCTGACGGCCCTGTTCTACGGATACATGGTGTCGGCGTGGGGTGGATACGTCTTCATCACTAACTTGCTGCCTCTGCACGCCTTTGTCTTGATCTGCATGGGACGCTACAGCCCCAGGCTGTACGTCAGCTACACTTCGTGGTATGCACTGGGCACGCTAGCGAGTATGCAGATTCCCTTTGTCGGTTTCCTGCCTATCCGCAGTAGCGAGCACATGTCGGCCCTGGGTGTCTTTGGTCTTCTCCAGCTCGTTGCCTTTGTCGACTGGGTGCGCGCCCAGCTTCCCGGCAAGCAGTTCCAGACGCTCCTCCGAGCACTGGTTTTGGGTGTCTTCGTCATCGGCGTCGGAGGCCTTGTGCTTTTGACCGTCTCTGGTGTCATTGCGCCCTGGACTGGCCGTTTCTACTCGCTCTGGGACACGGGATACGCCAAGATTCACATTCCCATTATTGCGTCTGTCTCCGAGCACCAGCCTACTGCATGGCCTGCCTTCTTCTTTGATCTCAACATGATGATCTGGCTTTTCCCCGCTGGTGTCTACCTGTGCTTCCGCACCCTCACCGACGAGCAAGTCTTCATTGTCATCTACGCCGTGCTTGCCAGTTACTTTGCTGGTGTCATGGTCCGTCTCATGCTCACTCTCACTCCCATTGTTTGTGTCGCATCTGCCATTGCCTTTTCTCAAATCCTCGACACCTTCCTGGACGCTAAGACGCCCAAAGCCAAGACTGAGAAGGAGAGCAGCGACGCGGCTTCGGCCGCAGCAGCAGCAGTACTCCCTGAGGGTCTCCGGTCCATGCGCAACCCTCTCGTCGGTATCTACTCGTATGCCTCCAGGGTCACTGTTGTCGGTGCTTCGGCCATTTACCTCTTGCTGTTCGTCCTTCACTGCACATGGGTTACCTCGAACGCATACTCGTCACCTTCGGTTGTGCTCGCATCTCGCATGCCCGACGGCAGCCAGCACATCATTGATGACTACCGTGAGGCGTACTACTGGCTCAGGCAGAACACCCCGCAAAATGCAAAGATCATGTCGTGGTGGGACTACGGTTACCAGATTGGTGGTATGGCCGACCGCCCTACCCTTGTGGACAACAACACCTGGAACAACACGCACATTGCTACCGTTGGTAAGGCTATGAGCTCTAAGGAAGAGGTCAGCTACCCGATCATGCGCCAGCACGAGGTCGACTATGTGTTGGTCGTCTTTGGTGGTCTTCTTGGCTACTCCGGAGACGATATCAACAAGTTCTTGTGGATGGTCAGGATTGCCGAGGGTATCTGGCCCGACGAAGTCCAGGAGCGCAGCTTCTTTACTACGCGAGGCGAATACCGTGTTGACGATCAGGCTACGCCGGCTATGAAGAACAGCTTGATGTAAGATATCCTCCCCTATCCACAATACTTGAAACTAACAACTTCCCCAGGTACAAGATGTCATACTACAACTACAATGCGCTATTCCCTGCCGGACAAGCACAGGACCGTGTTCGTAACTCGCGTCTCCCCGCCCAAGGCCCCGAGCTCAGCACCATCGAGGAGGCCTTTACCAGTGAGAACTGGATCATTAGGATTTACAAGGTCAAGGACCTTGACAATTTTGGTCGTGACCACCAAAGCGCAGTCTCTTTTGACAAAGGTCACAAGAAGAAGCGTTCTACCAAGCGCAAGGGTCCTAGGGTATTGAGAGTGGAGTAGATGTCTGGGGATCTCGACAATCACGATAGAGACTTGTAAAATCTGTATAACATAAGCGATATCTGGCAGGGTTCGCAGGGCGGGCGTTTGGCAGGAATATAAAAAATTCAGTCTCCATCCCCGGATGATGATGAGGTGAAGTGAGGCCAGAGCCGGTGGACTTGGAAAGGCGGTAATGTGCTTTTTGGTCATGGCTTTTGGCAGTGCGGGATGTATGGTGCATTGTTGCGGTTGGGGCTCACTTCAGGTAGATATCGAGTATGACGCAGTCTCTAGTATGTCCTCTTTTACCTTTCATTTCTGCTCCCCACACAGAAGCAATTTTGTTTTGCCTTGCAGTCTTCCATTCACCTCTCACCGTCGGGCCCACTTTTGGCTGGCTCTCCCCGCTCTAAGACTCTTTGCTTCCGCAAATTCGAGTAGCTGCCCGTCGACCTTTCCTCACTCAGCTTCCCGACTGCACCTACCACAAGCACGAAATGGCGAACGAAGAACAGAGAAGGGCCTTTGAGTCGTATATGGGTCGCGTGAGTAGTAGCAACACGCAAGGCCAGAGTCAGGCTCAGCCGGTTGCTCAATATCCCGGTTCAGTTGCCCAGCCAGGCAACCCATATCTTTACCAGGTGTAAGTATGCTCTTGCAGCGTGAGACTAGGGAACTAGCTAACAAACTGGAAATAGGAGTTCTTGTCTTCGGTGCCGTCATATGGCCTGGTATCCTTTGCTCACACGGCCTTCTAGCAATTCCCTGGGCTCGGAGTCCCTCCTGCGGCACCTACACCTCCGCCAGCAGCGCCGTCATCGGTCGCTTCGTTCCAGGGCTACCAGGGCGCGTATGCAAACGCTGGGTTTGGTCAGCCAATGTACGGTCAAAACGGGATACCGCAGCGTCCGCCGCCACTGGGCGATGCTCAAGCACAGCAGCAGACACAAACGCAAAGCGGACTTTCGGGATCTGCGGGCTATACCGCGCAGCCTCCGCCTCCGTTGACGGGTGGCAGCTGGCAATATAGTCAGGCAGATACCAGGATGAGCGGCGGTCGCAGCGGCCCGGTCACAGGCGCCATGGTCTCGCCATCTCGCCACGATTCACAGGAAGTTGTAGAGTCTCGATCGAGGCAGACAAGCAAGAATTATTACTACCAGCGAAACAGCCAAGCGCCATCGGGTGAAGCGCCGTCAGTGGAAGAAGTGGTCGTGCCAGTTATGCTCTGTCATACCTGCAGCCACTGCGGGCAGATGCGCTCGGCAGGCTTCCACCGTAACAATCCAGTTGTCCCGGGCAAAGCTCTGGTTTCTACGCGCTGCCGCCGCTGCCAGAAGAAACTGGAGGATTCGCATCATCGGTCGAGCAGCCGTTATACACGCATCCGCAAGTGCTCGGCTGACGAACCTTGTGACTGGCCTAGAGAGCCTTTCCGAAGCAGCACTGGCTACGATGAGGGCAGGGGCAGACAAAGGACCAGAGAAGATGCATACATGAGAAGAAGCTCTTCCAGTCGCCCTCGAACCGTCAGACGCGTATCCAGTCAGGCGCGTCTTGGTCTGCAGGCATTGCAACAACCGTCCAGTGACTCTAGGCGAGAGCGCACGGTACGAGCATCTTCATCGAGTCCGCGTCCTTCGCCTAGATATACCAGCGAAGTATGGCCTCCGCCTGACATCGTACGCATACAACCGACAAGGTCGGATGGGGCTTACCCGGCACCTCCTGAGCCACTTCCAAGTCGTGCCGCCACCTATGACGGCGCATGGCCACCTCCAGATATCGTCCGTACGCAATCATACCGAGATACCGAAAGAAAGTCTCTACGACGCCAGAGCTCACGCATCATCGAACTGAGCCCTTCGCCTCCGCCATCTCGTCCTAAAGTAGTGTATCGAAGTGAGTCGCAGGAACGGCGGCCCACAAGTCGAAGTATCTCCCCCGTATGCATTGTATCTCGCGGAGAAGCGCGCAGCGAAGAAGCGCAGACACGTCTGATGTCGCATCCCCGCCCCTTTCGAAGAGTCGTTCCCCGCCCCTCAGACGAGACGTCTAGTAACGGCGGCAACTCGACACCACGGCCACGCGCAGAGTCCCCCAGCTACAGCATCTCAAAAGCCAGTAGCACCCCCACCCACGAACCTCCGTACCACCACCGTCTCCGCCGCCAGCCCAGCATGCGCGAAACGGAGCACAGCATGCACGTTGAAGTGGGCGGGCCCCGCGTCCACTTTGGCCGCAACCAACAAGTCTTCGAACCACCACCACCACCACCACAACCAGTCGAACACCCAGCCCGCCCGCGCTATCACACCCACGACCAAACCTCCAACACGGCAAGGACATCAGCGCACTACAGAACGTACTCCCGCTCGCCCCCACCGTCATCCCAAGACTACAATCGCATCCACCTCAGCCACCACCACCAACGCCGCCGCCGCCGCTCAGAAGTCTCACCACCACCTCCACATCGACTCCACGACGATGAAATCAGGATTGCACGACATCGCCACAGGGAATCATCTCCCCAACTCGTAACCCGTTTCGAAGAGCTGCATGTACGCCGGAACACGTCGCCTGGTGCATCGCAGCGCCACCGCGCTTCTCATCGACACTCTGCTTCGCCGTCGCCATCGCCATCGCCATCGCCAGAACGTGCTTTACATCGGTCCCACTCATTTTACCGCCATGTTTCCCGTGCAGAAGCTCGACTCCCACTACCACGTCTCCGCTCCAAAGATAGACTTGCTGATGATGAGGATGAGGATGATGATCACACGGATTCTGGGAGTGCGCGCGAAGCACACGTCTTGGAGGTGAGGTCGTACAAGGGCGTTGATGGAAAGGCCCGCTCTGCGTCGTTTGTGCGCGAGAGGAGCCGCGCTAGGATGTTGGCTGCGGGGAGTGAGCGTGGAGGGGAATATGCGGATTTGGGGAGGCGAGAGAGGGTTACGAGGGTTTGGAGGGATGCGTGAGGTGAGGTGGCGTGGCGTGGCGTAGAAGGGGGAGGAAGGGGGAGAGAGATGTGGGCTGGGTTTTTGAGGTGTGGTGTGGGGGGATTGAAAAGAGGATGGATGCATGCATGGATGCATGGATGGGTACATAGGATTGGAGTCTTTCTTTCTTTCTTTCTTTATAATTATTGTCTTGTAGAAACATGTGGTCTAGTAATTGATTGACTGATTGACTGATTGATTACACCCATTCCTTCTCTCCCCCTTTGCTTACCTAAAAAAAAGCCCATATTCCAACATTTGATTCCCACGGCACTTCACACGGCATCCAGCACACGGCTGTGCAACGAGCACAACTCGACCACCATTGCCACGCCCGCGACTTCCTTTCTGCTCTCGTGCAGCTTCTCGCGAACAAGCAGCTCAGTCGCAGCCTCGGCATCAGCGGCCGCCTTGCCCCACGCAGCCGCCTCCTGGGACCCCGCGGGCAGCAAGTGGCTTTCAGCCGAGAGCCTGAGGAGCGCTTCACGCGCTTCTTGGTCTGCGGCCGCGAGATGCGCAGCCAGGAACACGGATTGCTGGGTTAGTGCGCGCTCGCTGTTTGCCAGGTGCGTGAGGTGAGGGAGGTAAGGCAGGAGTTTGGAAAGGGGGTTTGATGGCGGTGGTGGTGGTGGTGGTGGTGCTGTTGTGTTGTCTGGCGAAGTGTTGCGGTGTTGCGGGGCGGAGTCGCTTGCTGATATGGCGGATGGTGATGCGAGGGGAACGGGGTTGTGGAGACTAGTATGTGCGGCTAGTAGCTTGGCTCGCGCTGCAGTGTACGTGTCGTATGCGGCTTTGATGCGTTCGGTGGCTGATGCAAGGTCTGGTTTATTGATAGTAGCAGCAGCAGTAGTAGCAGCAGGGCCGTTGGTATTGTGGACGGGCCGCTTGATGGGCGAGGCGTCTTCCGGGAACATGCTTTCGTCATCTAGTTTTGCCAGTTCGCCCTGGATCCAATCGACAAGCTCGTTGCGTGCCTGCTCGAGGGCGTAGACTTGGGATTTGAGATTGGGTGCGGCGCCATTAGACATGGTCTCCTGTGCTTTTGCTTTTGCGGCTTGGGCGCGCTCCAGGCCTGCTCTTGCTTCGAGGACTTGTTGCTTCAGCTTGAAGACGCATGCTTGGTCGTCGTCGGTGCCGCCGGGTTGGGAGAGCTGCTCAAGACGCTCGACTGGAATACCTGGTTGTTCGCCGATCGCCCTCTTGACCAGGTCCCTTGGGTCGGACGAGGCTGTGGAAGGCTTCGCTGCCAAGAGTTTTTCGAGGGATTCCTGTATCACTTGGAGCTCTGCATGGCGGCGGCGCTGTCGCAGGAGAGACACATAGCCTTGGGTGACGTTATCGTCCTGGTTGGACTCGGGCTGTGTAGGGTTGTCGTTGACGTGCCGGCCCCGCAACTGCTCCAATGAAGCTTGGAGCTCACGGTGCTTTGCTTGTGCCTTGGCTCGAGCTCGAAGCGCCTGGAGATAGTCGAGACGGGCGTCTTTTAGGCCTGGGGGGTTTGTGTTGGCTGCTGACAAGTTGTGCGGACACTCATGGTTGAGATGCTGCGATTGGGTTTGTGCATTGACTGGCCGCAGACTGGATATCAGATACTTTGATATGGTCCGCCGGATGCGCAGTGTGTCTTGGCGAGAATTGATATAGGACGACAATGCCCGATCCACCTCGGATATTGGACACGATGTCTGGGCCGGCATCGTGGAGCTGGCGCACGGCGGGGGTGAGGTATTGGTGGAGATGACCGTGAGAGATGCGGATGCTATTCGACGCTTCGTTTGCGGCTGAGTAGCCACAATAGTTGCATTGACCCAAGGTCACTATGCTTTTGAGCCTGTGGTTGCGGTTGGAAGCTCGACGGCTGGCGGTGTTTTGGTGGGTCCGGGGCTAGGCCCGAGTAGGGCCAGCGTGTGTTGTTAGTGCAGATCACGAAAACACGTGCTTTGTGGCCTTGGCCCTTGTGCATATAACGCTTCCCCAAGCGAGCGCGAGCAATGGCGGTCAAAGAGTAGAAAAAGGGCCGAGTTTTGCTTTTCAGTCTGCGAACGTGGATCGGATAGATCAGAATGCACGTGTCAGGTGACTAGCGATAGGGCAGTCACATGGTGTGCGCAGGGCTAACTGCATGGCTAACTGCATGGCTAACTACATGTGCGGTGGAGACTACATGTGCATGTCTGGGATAGGTGTACTTGGGCGGTCCTTCAACGTTGCTATGTCGGGATTGGGAGCGATGCTTGTGTACACGTATTGGGAGGAGACGCGCCGCAAGAGCTACGCGTGGGAGCTATCTCGACGACGCGGTGGAAATGAGGCCAGCAAGTGTTTTTTCAGGAGCGCACGCCTTGAGGCCTGTGTCGCAGGCGCGTCCAGCATGCCGCCAGCTCGACAGCCCCCTTGGATCGAGGACTCGAACTAGTGCGAGACAGTGGCTGCGGAGTGGCTGCCAGTGGCTGCTACTACCGGGAAGCCAGTCAATCAGACGCCCAAATGCGCAAAGCATAGGAGAGTTAGCGTGCAAGGAGGCGATAGCGGGCGATAGCCATATTCCCGACGCCTGGCGTGTGTGCAGATCGCCGCCCCACTGGCCGTGGGCGGCCGACATGGCTAATGAGACTGGAGAGACGCGTCGACGCATAGGGTAGGAATGTGATGTCAGACCTGGCGGTGCCTCAGCCATGAGCAATAGCATTACGAGGGATGAAATTTAGAGTGGAACTGGGCTTATGCGTATGAGACAGCCAAACGGTCCTTTCGGGTCGGGAGCTAAGCTAGTCAGATCAGCAGTAGACTGCAGGGACCGTGGTTAGGTTGAAGAAGTCTTGTCCGCATTTGTTTTGCGTCGGGGGGCACCTGGACAAGTGAGCGGCGACAGCGAAGGGGGGAGCAGAGGGGGGGGGAGTGTGCACGGGGCACGGGGGCATTGAGTTGACGAGAGCAAGAGCAAAGTGTGAGGCGGTGGATGACGCGAAGAGGGACAACGCATCAAGGCGCGCGCACCAATGGCAGCGGGCAGCAGGCGTGGCGGCGGGGAAAATTCAGACTGGCGGGGGGGCAATGTGCTGGCGACTAGAGCAGTGATGCGAAACAGAGGCAGTCGTCGCGTGCAGGCAGCCCATAAGAGAGAGGCACGACGATGTCGGGCAGGCGGCTTGGCGGGCAGGGGGGCGGGGGTTGGGAGGAGGAGAGGATTTGGTGATGGGGGGGAGGGCGAGAGAGGGGACGAGAGATGGAGGGGGGGGGGGAGCGCATGGGCCGTGGGCGTAGGCGGTACTATAGGCGGTAGGCGGTAGGCGGTAGGCCGTGGGCGCAGGCGCAGGCGCAGGCGCAGGCGCAGGCGGTGGCACTGGCAGCGCAGGCAGGCTAGGGCCGGATTCGGCTAGGGGCCCGAAGGAAGCACTGCAACCCTTGGCCGCGCGCGACAGACGGCCACACTGGCACTGGCACAGCGACAGAGGCACTGCGAGAGAGCGCCTGCCCTGCCCTGCCCTGCCCTGCCCTCCCCTCTCCTCCTCTCCTTTCCCGCCCCAGAAGCAACCTCGCCCGCCCGCACGCCCTCGCTGGTAGCGACCAAAAAGTAAAACCCACCGCCGCCTGCGAATCGCTCCTCGTCCCTGCATCCAGCCCGCTCCCCTCCGGCCGCGACGCGCGCCGCCCGACCGTCTCCCTCGCCCGGGCAGGGGCACAAGTAAATACTCGCGGCACCACCCAGCCTGCACCTCCTCCTCCTCCTCCCTCCCTCCCCACGGCCGCCCGCCCACCATGCCCTTCTTCAAAAATGTCTTCACCTCCAAGGACAAGCAAAAGTCCGCAAAGTCGGCGCCCGAGCCCGCTGCGCCCCCCAAGCCTCGCTGGGAGGAGTCGTGGACGCGCAAAGAGGTGGCGCCCGACGAGATCCAAGAGCTCGTCCACGTCTGCACACAGGAGATGAAGTCGCGGGGTAAGTGCACCCTGCGAATTGGGCCCCCGACCGCCATAGCTGACCCGCACTAGCTCTCGACATGCCCTTCATGCTGCTGCCCTTTCGCCCCACCTCCGACACCAGTGCCTCGCGCAACTTTATCCGCAACTTCTTCAAGGCCGACTATGAGGGCACGGGTGCCTACTCGGGCGAGCAGCTGGCCCAGGAATTGCGTCTGATGGCGCCCTTGGTACGCATGCCCCCAATCCGCGCCCACCACCATGTGCTGACACCCACTCCCACAGACGCTTTGCAGTATCATCAAATGGTGCTGGAGCAGGCTTCCCGGCGGCGTGGTGACCTGGGACGCATACGAACTTTTTCGAATTGGCGAGTCAGGTACGTCAACTGTTGGAGCATCCCCCTGTGCCCCCTGGCCGCTTGCTAATCCTGCACACGCAGATTCAAACTTTGCCCGACATGCTTTCGACACTTTTATCCCCCTCAGCGTAGAGTCTGAAGCACGCAAAACCATAATATTCGACTTTTTCGACCTGCTGTCGGCCGTGGCAGCGCGGGGCAAGAGCAATGGCATGGGCGGAAGAAAACTCTCCCGCTTGGCAGGATGGTGGGCATTCGAGTTCCACGAGGACAACAAGGGCTTCGATGGCGGCTACCGCACATGGGAGAAGTAAGACCAAGCACTGCCCGTGTTGCGACCATGCAAACTGACTCCTCACTAGAGCCGCAGACGCCGCAAGCCATCTCTTCTTTGCCTACCTACGGTCGCTTGCACCAGACACAAACGTAGTCGGTGGCATCTCTGCTCTGCCGCGATCCCTCCAGGCGCTCGTCGCCCAGACCGAGTACCCACCACAGGCGCCCACGCTGATGCAGACGCGCACGACCAAGGTGGTCATGATTGTGGATTCGGTTTCGCCTACACCCTTCGCCTTGCTTCGCCGCGCAAAACACTTCGAGTACCGAGACGAAGACCGGGCGCTGCAGAAGTTTTCTGAATACGAAGACACGGTCAAGGCTCTAACGGATGAATGCCGCAGAGTGCTCGAGTGTATTGCAAATGCGAACCAGTCGGCCATGCCAACGCTGACGGACCCCTCGACGCCCGACCCCTCGTGGTCCCGCTTTGAAGATTTTGGATTTGGAGGCATCCTGGACGATCCCAGCGCTGCGAATGGAACTTCGCTAGGTGGCAATTCAAGCGACTTTTCTAGCTTTGGGTCGAATACCCGCTCCAAGAACGCCGACTTTGCTCGCCCTACCACGCCTTCGTGGGCAGACTTTCTGTCTTCGGGCTTCGCAGACGAAAACAACCAGTCTCCACCGACTACCCTCTTGCTGCCAACCCAGAAGCTCCCGCCTCTAGGAGAGCATCGTGTGCATAGCTCGCAATCACACGTGCGCAACGGCCTCAAAGAAGACGACCTAGATCCGGGCGAGTTGGCAAGCATCACCAAGTTTGAGCTCGACGAAACTTTTTGGTGGGTGTGGATGATTAGTCTTGCTTCCGAAGAGACTGCCGACCGCAAAGCTGCGTTTGGTAGATGCACGCTAATTGAGACGCGCATCCAAGGCGCCAAGTGGCTGGTCATGGAGGAGCAGGTCAAGGGCGCATCGCCTGGTCCTGAAGAAGGTGCGTACATTGTGGAGAAGAAATCCAAATTCAGCTTCACAAAACGCGGACGCCTGGGCCGACGCAAGTCAACTGGGAAGAAGCCGTCGGACAAGGAGCCCTACAGCCGCACTGCTACCGGGACCCCCATGAGCAAGACGAGTATCGGACCGGACCAGCACGCGAGGATACAGGCTGCGGCCGCAAAGCTGGCTCAAGGTGAGAAACAGGAAAAGAAAGCCAAGGAGCTTGCCCAACGCCGAGGACGCAATGATGATGCGACATCCATCAAGACCAACAGTGTACTTACGCTGCAGCCCCACTTGGTCAACGAAGCTGGTCCAGCCATGAAATGGGACAAGAAGTTTGGCGAGGCTGCGCTCGATCGCGACCAGCTGCGCGCTCAGTATCTAGGTGACACCAGTGCTGGTAAGGGATCTAAGAGCAACCTTACGGTAGCTGGTAATGGCCGCGCTTCCCCAATGCCCTCGGTCCTTTCGAACCGCGAACTACCTCCTCTGCCAAAGTCAGAAAAGGATCCCGAAGAGTCCGTTACGCCAGTGCCTTGGCCCACCGACTCGCCTACACAGTCACCACGCCATCCACCCAAGCCGGCATTCCCTCCAGAATCGACTCTCTCTCCTGAGGAAACGCCCCTGCCCGAAGACAAGTCTGCCAAGTCATCTGTAATTCCCAAGGAGCATCCTGCTATGAGGAAACCAGTAGCGGCATCTCAGCCCAAGCCTCGTATGAGTGAAGACCAAGGTATGGGGCCTGGAAAGAAGCCCTCGCCAACCAAGCTCAAGAAGAAGGAAGGAGGGTTCAGGAAGTTATTTGGAAGGAAGAAGACAGACACACCAGGCTCCACACAGCCTGGGGACGACTCGTACTTGGCATCAGCAGATAACTCCCGCAGCGTTTCTCGGGTTGAAAACCACCAACCTAGCGCACGAGAGCCCTCTCCCACGTACACGGATGAGCAGCATGAGCCGGGTCGAGCCCCATCGCCAAAGTATGATCCTAGTCCTGTCGAGTCCACTACGGGTGTGGTAGAACCTAGCCACGCCGGTGCATCTGTGACTACGGCCAGTCTGGCGACTCAGGAAGAGGCTGACAATGCCTTTTCTCGATTCGACCAAGGCCCACTCGAGGATGTACCTGCTTTCGTTCCCGAGGATAGTGATGACGAAGCCGCGGCCGCCCCATCTATTTCTCGACGACCAGTTGGACAGGTAGCCCCCAAGACACCAACTCAACACGAGGCAGATGACATCTCGGAGGAATCAGTCGAGTTTGCGAAGCAGCAGTCACCATCCAATGATCGATGGGCACAGATCAGGAAGAATGCTGCCGAGCGTGCAGCCAGATTGAGTGAGGAGCAGGTTCGACGTAGCCGTAGTCAGAGCCAGAGCCAGCGCACTGATGAAGGCGAGACAAGCGGCGAAGAGACGATTGAGAGCCGTGTTGCGCGCATCAAGGCACGTGTCGCTGAGCTTACTGGCAACACTGAAGGCCAGGCTCCCGTAGCCGCACCTGGTGCCGGAAGACAGTGGTAGATTGAGTGCAGTGGTAAGAATAACGTCTAATCTTTGCCTTGGCGCTATATCACTGACACGAGTGCAGATTCCATGCAGCATCACGAACCCCGTCTGTTTTCTCAGCGTACAACGAGCTCGATACCCTTTTTTCCTATTTCCGACTTTTCGTCTTGCTCCTCTTTTATGACAATCGACATAAAGCTGTTTTTATTTTCCTTTTTCTCCCACAGTTAATACCCGTCAGCGTACCAACATACTGCATCCACCTGACATTAGCTCTTATTTTCGTTTTTTTTTCTAAATCTTGATTTGGCGTCTTTTTTTCCTGTACTTTCTTCACTTTTTTTTCCTTCCTCTCTCTCTCTCTCTCCTTCTACCTATTCAAATCTTTCGACGTTCTTGCTGAGATACCTTGGGAGGAATGTACATGGTTGTCTAGGTACATTTATAGTTTTTACCCTCGCCCGTCTCCCCCCCCCCTCTCCCTTATTTGGTGTTTCCCTCTCTCTAACTCCCTCCCTCGCCTTGCCTCCCTATCTAAAGTTGGGGCTGGGTTCACTTCCCTCGCCCTTTGTCTCTCTCCGTGTCTAATACCTTAAGTTGGTGGAGATTATAGTGTCTAAGATGTGGCTATATGGCTATAATCCATGTTGTTCGTTGTGAGAAAGTGTGTGTGTGTGTGTGTGTGTTTTAATAGAAAAGAGATTTGCGTCTATCATCTTTGGCTCGTTACTCGTTTTTTGTTCCAGTTGCTACTACGCTTGTTCTTCGTCCAGTGCGTTGTGATGTGAGAATTTCATGTGTTCTTTTTTTTGTTTTTTTGTTTCTAGGGTACGAACGATTAGTGGTGAGTTGTGAGTGTTGAGTAAGTAGTGAGAATGAATGCTGTTAGTATGTAATAATATTTATTTCCCAATCTTATCTGTCTCTCTCTCTCTCTCTCTCTCTTTTTTTTTCCAACCTTCTGTTTCATTTCTTTCTTTCTTGTATTTATGAATACAACATACTTGCTTGAATACTTTTTATCTTTTCCTTTTACTTTACTCTGCTTTACATTAGAACAGCATGCTAGGGGGTTTTTTTTTCTCTCTTTATATTAGGATTGTATGTATCATAGTTAGTTGATACAGAGAGAGAGAATAATAGACTAAGAGGGATGTGTGATTGAAGGTTAAATCTATATATGCGTAGTATTTCTTCTCTTGGTTGGATTGTAATGTAGTAGTGTGAAGTATACATAGTAGAGAGGGAGGGAGGTAAGGAGGGAGGGAGGGAGGGATAGAGAGAGAGAGAGAGAGAGAGAGAGAGAGGAGAGAGAGAGAGAGAGAGGAGTAGAGAGAGAGAGAGAAAGGGGATAGGATATTTCTATCAGCGATTTATATCCCTATCTATATATCAACTCCGAGTTTCGATATATATATACTCGTAGACTTGCTAGTCGCGCTATTGAGAAAATACCACCCCGCATTCCATGTATACTTCTACGCAGTACTACCGCATTCTTCCCTTCACTTACACAGCCGTGGCCCACTATTTACACCCTATAATTAAACATCTTTTAGAGTATTTGAAATGAGGTTGCCTTGTTACTTACTTATCTTCTCCTGTTTACTTTAGCTAACGAGAACTACGAGAATGCTGATAGTAACGTGGATTCCATGTCCTGAGATACAAACCAAGTATATGTAATACGCTGATTAACGAACATGGTTGCTAGCAAGGGCAAGGGCACTATGTTGATGAGGTTCTCTAGTAAGAAATATTTCCAAGTTTAATTATATCAGTCTATATCTGTTCTGTTTAAACTGAGTTTATAATGGTCCAAGGCACGGCACTATACTAACTTTCAATAGACATTTTAGCGGTCTATTAGCTGTCCTACTCATCGTTTCCAAACTCAAATAAACCACAGGTTGATTGAAATAGAGGGGGGAGGGAGTGAGTGAGTGAGGGGAAAGGGAATGGGCGATTGTGAATTGAGTGGCAAGATGTAGATGGATCGAACCATGGAAGCCATGTGTGTGAAATGTAAAGATTTTTTGTTTCATATCCCTGGTAGTGGTGCTGTCTAGGTTGCAGTTTAGTAATAATGGAGATTGGGCAATATGGGTCATGTGGCCCCAACTGGGCAGTGTGGCGAGTGTTTAGTAATCGGGTAAAACAGAGATACTTAGGGTTTAGTGTTGCGAGGAAATTTTCTTTTATTGTCATGGGAGACGTGTTATGAAGAGTCGAGGACAAGTGGATTGTGAAATGGGGAGAGTGTCGCGGTGTATACAGTCTCTGCTTGAAAAGAGTAGAGAATTGGTATTGTTTTTCTCTTCTATTCTCAAGAAAGCGACTCTGGAATATAGCAAGGCGGCTAGAATTGTCGTACACTTCTCCAAAGCAGTCGGGAGAGCCGGATTTTTCCAGGGCGACCGGAAGCGATGGGTTCATGCGAAATTGAAAAAAAAGTGCATTAAAGACAGTGTGTTCGCATTGCATGAACATGTATATAGCTTGGCACCCTCATATCATGGCATCTATTAGTGTAAGGGTAGTATTAGCGTAAGGAGAGTGGCTTGACTAAAACAGAATGGTTGGTGTAAAACACATTTGGCATGCTGGGCCCCTGATATTGATGACAGCGTGTTGTTGCTGGAAACTATTTGGCGGATGTGTATCGCGTGTTTCATGCTGTTCCGGGCTCATGCGTCGGTAATTGCGCCTCCTGGATATGCATGTCCAATGTGTAGGGCGACTACGGAGCCATGTTGCCGATATGGTGAGACTCATGGATAGAACGATATCAATATTTGGCGTGATTTTGTAGTGTCTTCCAGGAATAAAGTCAGGCGGGCTAGTTGCGCTGACCATGCGTTCGTGAGAGGCACAGGTGTCAGACTGGGGCCATGAAGGAAGAATGGGATAGGGGACGAGATATTGGCAGGTTACTTGCAAACCAAGAATAACCCAGAATACTGTACCTGCATCGAAGGGGCCGCGGGGTGCATGTAGTGAGCCAGTGAGCACGAAGGAATGGTTGTTGGGGTTGGGTGACTAAGAATAACAAGGCAGAGATGTACCTGCATCGGAGGAGTAATTGTGCCGTCGAGTTCAAGTTGCAAGAAAGTGGCGCGATGATGATGACCTAGCCTGCTTGGATTAGAAACCGAAGTTGTATTTCATGGGTGTATATTGCTGAGGTCGAGGGCGAATGGGGCACGGGTCTCGGCGCAGCAAGTGGTGACACAGACTACGGCGGGCGGTGGCGGGGTATACGGACGGAGAGGCGGCAGCTGGGCTGCAGCGCAGTGCAGTGTGGTGCAGAGAGGATAGGAAGCGGGCGGCTAGGCGGGTAAGATGGGGTTGAGGGAAAGGGGATGGGGATGGGGATGGACAAGGGCGTGCTGGACAATGTGTAGATGGTGGTGGGGAGGTGAGGTGAGGTGAGGCGTGGGTCGTCAGTGGTAGGGCGGTCGAGGGCAGGTGCGTCATGGCAGTGGGCGTCTTGGTCTGTGGGTTTCGGGGCGTGTGGTGCTAAAAATATCGCGTTTCGGGACGTGGTTGGCGGATGGCGCTATCGCTGTGAAGCGCGGCTGGGCGAGCCCTAATCCAACCTCAACGGTGGGTGTAGGACAATATCATTGTAGCTGGGCAGCATGGTGACGATGCCGTGTGTGGACTGGCTGGCGTGGCGCAGACAGTGTTATAGCAGGGACTGGAGCGCTATGAGGAGGGCATCCGGCAGCAAGCAACGTGTGCCGCACCCAGCATGGCCATGGCCAGCGAGGTGGCAGCGACACACAGGGAGACGCCCTCGGCGGAGGCGGAAGCTAGAGTTTGAACTACGTGAATGCCCAAGTGCGTCGCCGTATGGTGCGAGTGACAAGTGGCTCCGGCAAAGGGCGCAATGCCGCACAGCGTGGCCTGGGCTTTTTTTTTCTTGCAGCGTCCAGCGGCGAGCAGCGTGCGAGCAGGCGGGCACGCAGCCGCAACCATGGCGGACACGCCTCGGCAGGGCGGGCAGGCGGCAGGCGGGTGAGACGGGCTTGCTGGCGGGCGGGCACACGTTGCGCAGGTTGCGGAACGGGCATGCAGCGTTCCCCGCGGCGGCTATGGTGTAGTCGTGGTCGCGGTCGCGGTAGCGGTGGTGGTAGTGGTGGTGATGGCACACTCGCGCGCAGCACATGCGGCGGGCGAGGGCGGGCTCTAACCCGGGGAGCGGCAATAGGTCCTTAAAATAACTCGGGTGGGCGACGACAGGCGAGTAAAGGGCCCCAGTCGGGTTAGGCTGGGGTCGGAACATTGACACTGGCGCGGCACGGCCAATGGCAGGCGCGCCGCCATGGCACAAAGCGCGCAAATAGGCCGTAAGCGGGCATATTAGCGATCGCGTGGCCTGGGCGTTGCAGTCGCTGCAGTCGCTGCTGCGCTGCACTTGGGCTTTCTAAATATAGGGGCGCCCACCCAACTCCATCATCGTTTCCTCTGCTGCACACTGCCCTCCGACCCTCAGCGACCGCCTGCGACACCACCGCCGCCCACGCCGCCCATATAGCCCCTCGCGCCCGCCGAGCCCGTCCGCCCTCTGCCCGCGCGCCGACTTCTGCCGCCCGCCCTCGCTCTCGTGCTGAAACGCTGGCTGTGTGCGTGCCGCGCAAGCTAGCAGCACCCAGCATTCTTTTGCCCCCGACAAGACCCTCGACCACCCTCGACGAGCCTCCGCACGCCCACGCGCTCCTCTCCCCGTCGCTCCATGCGCTTTGACGTCTAGCATCGACATCCACAATGGGTCGCAGAAAGATCGAGATCAAGGCCATCAAAGACGACCGGAACCGCTCGGTGTAAGTACTCGACGCCTGCCCGCCCGCCCGCCCGCCCGCCACCAGCTAACCCGCCCGCCAGCACCTTTCTCAAGCGCAAGGGCGGCCTCTTCAAAAAGGCCCACGAGCTGTCGGTCCTCTGCTCCGTCGACGTGGCCGTCATCATCTTTGGCCACAACAAGAAGCTGTACGAGTTCTCGTCCGGCGACATCAACGAGACCATTGGCCGCTACCAATATGTATGCATCCACGTGTTCCCCAAATCAAGAGCTGCGCTAAAACGGCATGGCACTGACAGGTCACCCAGTATGGCGGCGCACACGAGCACAAGGGCCCCGAGGACTTCATGGGCAAGAAGGATGGCGACGACGACGACGATGACGACGAAGAAGGCGGCCTCGCCCCAGACTCGCACACGCCGCCCGAGCACCCCATGATGCCCCATCACATGCAGCACTCGCAGTTCCAGCACATCCGCCACGGCGCGCCCTCCATGTCGCCTCCCATTGGCAACGGCGCGTTCCAGCAGCGCGGCCCCTCGCCCCAGCCCCCTCACCACCTGTCGCGACCCAACTCGAGAGTAGGCCACATCCGCCGCCCCAGCTCCAACCTCGCTCCGCCCCAGCCCTACCCTTCGCAAGCCCCGCCGCCGCAGAACAGCTATGCCTACATGCCGAATCCGCCCTTTTACAACCCCCAGCCTGCCCCACAGATGACCCCTAAGCCTCAGCTCACTCCCCCTGCCACCCAGTACCAATTCGCGCACCCCATGCCCGCACACCCCCAAGTCCAATACATGCAACAAGAGCAGCAACGCCGACAGTCAATGCCACCCACATTCCAGCAGCAGCAGCAACAACAACAGCAGCAGCAGCAGCAACAGGAACAGGCGGCGCAGGCACAGGCAGCACAGGCACAAGCTCAGGCACAGGCGCAGGCACAAGCTCAAGCACAAGCTCAAGCACAGGCACAAGCTCAAGCTCAAGCGCAGGCACAAGCACAGGCACAGGTTCAAGCACAACAGCAGCAGCAGCAGCAGCAACCCCCGCCGCCTCCACCTCCACAGCCACAGCAGGAACGCCCTGAACAGCCCACCATCACCGTCCCGTCTCCACCGCAGCCGAACAACTTCCAGAGCCCCCCTCTGCCACAGCCGAAGCCATTGCATGCATCTGCCAGACACAGCATTTTTACGCCAATCGACGACAGCCAGTCGATGCTCGCAGCACACTGGGGCAGCAGCAGTACGAGCAATAACAATGCGAATGCGCCGCGCAATGAACCCCCCTTCCTCAAGCAGGAGAACCGAGCGCAGTCGATAGATGTTGCCGCCATGGCACGATCGCAGCCAGATGCAGACCCCAAATCCCAGCCACAGCCCCCACAAGCGCCTCCCCAGCAGCCGCCGCAGAGAACACAGTCGACGTCGGCCGTGCCTGTAATTCCGCCGCCGTCTCGGACAAACAGCCTGCGTATGGGTGAGAGCAAGCCGAGACTCCGGGTGCAGATTCCGAGCGAACACTCGGACGGCGGTAGTGCGACGGCCGACTCGTCGCCCAAGGACTCGGGCACGACGGGCGCCACACCAGGGCGCAGCACTGATGCATCGCACTCTTCGGGCGTTGTCTTACCCCCGCCTTCACCGAGCGCCAATTCGCTGCTTAGCGCGGGTGCAACGGGCCCACCCAATCCATTTGCTCGCCCGCCCCCGCCGTCCAACAGCAACTCGTACGGCAGCCGCAACGACATGGAAACGCCCATCTCGGCACTGCCCAGCCGGTTTGTCGAGAATGGGCTGCTTCCGTCGCCCTCGAGCTTTTACCCGGAATGGGGCTTTGGGCGTGACTCCAACATGCTACCAAGTCCTCTGACGTTTCAGACTCCTGTAGCCCCCAACGGACCCAGCTTCGCGCGTGACGATTCTGCAGAGCGCAAGCGAAAGACATCGGAGCAGGGTTCCGACGACGGTAACCAGAAGCGTGTCAAGACGTGAGGCCATGCAAACTTGTTCCCCCCTTTCCTTCTATGCGCGGCTGCGTTGCCGAGGCCGCCTGTAATTGTAAGAGGCCGTTTTTAACTCTGCTGTTTGAATTCTCTGCTTTGACCGGGGCAAGCTGGCCATGCTCGATGCATGCACACTGCACCTTGTTGACTGTTTGTTTGCCGGCGGATCTTGGACGTAGGGGCGTTGGATACCCACGACAATTGTCGTATTCTGTTTCTCTCTTTCACAATTTGACGATGCGGCAGGCGAGAGTTTTTTGTTCTCCTTCTTCTTCTCTGCTACTTCTTTTTCTACTTCTTCTGCATCTTCTTCTTCAAACGCACTAGCTATGGCCATGATGACTATGAGAGAGTTCAAGACAGCTGCTTCTTTGTAGATAATATAATACAAGACAAGTTTGCCTAGGTGGCCGAGCAAAGCGCCATGCCCACGGGTGACTCAGGAGAGAGCAAGCCAGGTCAGGCGAGAGGCGAGTGCGGCCGGGTGTCGGGGCTCCGTCGGTGGCCGAAGACGTGGGACGCGTGTGATGACAATGGTGAAGGGGGGGGGGGCAGCAGAGCGTCATAGGGCCAAGCCCATGCCCCGCCGCCGCGCCTGCGCCTGCGCCTCCGCCGCTCGTCAAGGCGCCTTTGCCCTTGGAGCCAGCCGCAGCTGGGCCGTCAAGGAAACCCGATATTGGGCCCTGATTGCTAGAGCCGTGACTTTTCTTTGATCAGCCTCTCGCCTCAACGTGCCTCGTCTCGGCTGGCATATTCCTCGCAACAAATCCTGCCCCTTGACCACCTGACGGTCGCTTGCGCTCGCCCGGCAGAAGCGCTGGAGCTTGGTGTCACATTCATATATCATCAGCCTCTACTTACTTACTTGGCCTTGCGACCGCCTTGCCTCCCACCTCGCCCATACAACACAACAGCAACAACAATCCACCCCCAAGCATGGCCTACAACAAAGGCTTCAACCCGGACAGGCTGCCCATGCACGCCGAGCCCGAACAGGTGCGTCTTGCTCGACTGCGCCATGCAGCGCTTGCGAAACTGACGTCGCTCAGGCTGCAGCAATGATGTCGCAAAACGCTGCCTCAGCACCGCGCCCGCTGCGCACAGGCTCTGCGCGCCCCGACTACAACAAACCCCCTCCGCCGGTTCCTAACCAGAGATACGACACGCGCCCAGACGACCGCTACGGCGGCGGAGGGGGCCGCGGCGCAGGAGGTGGATATGACAACAGGCCCCCGCCAGGCGCATACAACGACGGCCGCCATGACAACCGCTACGACTCGAGGCCCGATCCCAGAATGGCTCTTGGATCCCCTCCACCAGCAAACTATGGCCATGGCCCGCCGCCCCAGGGCTATCATGGAAGACCGCAGCTTGCGCAGCAGGCAAGGCCCCCACCAACGCCCGCGCCCGCCCCACCACGCGACGGAAATGATCGCGAAGCCCTGTGGAGGCTGTTTGGTGCGGTGGACAAGGACAGTATGCCGTGTCTACCATGAAAACCATGCAAATAAAAATGACTAACCACGGCGACAGGAAGAGGTGAACTCACAGAAGCCGAGCTGCGAACTGCCCTCGTAAACGGTGACTGGACTCCTTTTGATCCGCATACCGTACGCATGATGATCCGAATGTTCGACACCAACAAATCTGGCACCGTCAACTTTGACGAGTTCTGGTACGCCGTCCATGCTTTACCCAGCCTGCATTCTCTTTTTCTTTGTTTTTGCTATGCACAAGAATGTTAAACTGACAAAATCTTTCTTATCTTCCAGCGGCCTATGGGGGTTCCTTTCTGCCTGGCGCGCTCTTTTCGATCGCTTCGACCAGGACCACAGCGGCAGTATATCTTATGCCGAATTCAACGAAGCCCTCATTGCCTTTGGATACCGTCTCTCGCAGCAATTCGTCACTTTGCTGTACCGCACATATGACCGCGACGGCCGCAATGCGCTCAGTTTCGACCTGTTTGTCCAGGCATGTATCAGTCTGAAGCGCATGACAGATGTATTCAAGAAGTATGACGAGGACCGGGATGGATACATTACGTTGAGCTTGTAAGTGAAGCAACATGTGCAATCAACAAAGTAGCTACTTTTGAGGAGAAATTTGCTAACTGTGTTTGTGTCTGCAGCGAGGAATTTCTTACAGGTGCGCAAGCTTTATTCCTCTTCAACTCGATTTCGGCCTCCACTGATACCGGGCTTTACTAGAAATCATCCGTCAGCGATGAGCAGCGCCACGAGCAAAAAGAAAAACGAAGCAAGCAATCATGTGCTGCATCGAAACAGTAAATCATCTTTTTTGCGCGGTTCAACACCAGCTTGCATCGACATATTGCCACGGAGAGATTTTACGAATCTTTTATTCTTTTGGCATATCTGGGATGTTGATAAATCACGGCTCTGCAATCATCACTAGTAAAGGGAAGAAAAAGAGAGAGGACATCGAAACGTTACATATAGTCCATGGGGGGAAGCAAAGAGAGAAAGAAGAATGTAATAGCCATAACCCTGTAATAGCATGCTGGGAAGAAAAAAAAACACATTTTATGTTAGACACAAATGATGGTTGGTGTAAGTAAGTTGGATGATGGGTGTTGCAAGAAAGCCATCCTTCTTTTCCCTCTTTTTGGCTCTTTTTTTTATTTCGTTCAAACTAGGTTAACTCACAAAGTATATTGACGCGATGAATCTAGATACCCGTTTTTTTTGCTTTTTCTTTGCTTTTCCCCACTTTTTTGTTTCGTTTTCTTTTTTTATTCAAGTTTTCTAAGCTCTAGTTAACTCGTAAATTGCTTGTTGTTGTTGTTTTTTTTCCCTCTTGGTACTTATATAGCAATAGACATTTTTTTAATCTGTTATTTCAAAAAAAATCTTGATTTCGCTTTTTTCCTTTCTTCCTCTCTCTCTCTCTCTCTCTCTCTCTTTCTCTCTCACTTCCCCCCCCCTCCCCCCACCTTTTTTTTTGTCTTTACACATAAACACGTAGTTTACACTATACCTATCACGTTAACTAAAAAACGTGTATATTTGTATACTTTTACTTATACATCATGTATATATATAGAGGGGTGACAGGAAAAAAAAGTATTTAGAAAAATAGAGATTTTAAAACTTAAATACCTTCGCTATTTAGATAAGTAGAAATGAGTATAGTGTAAATTGAGAATATAGAGAGCTAGTAGTTTAAGGTAGTAGACTTACTTTTTACTTACTAAATAGCTTTAAAATGATATATATATAAGAATATAGAGAAAAAAAAGCTATATAATATAAGTACTTTATAAATATTAACTAGTGGAGCTAAATACTTAGATTTTTAATATAGTATTTACTTGAGTGATATATGAATTTTATTCTATTTTTATCCATAGTTTATCACTTAAATTTTTTGTAATTAATGAAAGAAAAAAAAGTTTAATTTTATTTTAGCTATAAGCTTTTTAGTAATATAAAAGTAGTTTATATATAATTCTTAATGATATTCTAAAATCTTAGCTTTAGAAGTAATTATATTAGAATTTTATAAGAATATATATATATAAAAAAAAGAGGTTTTTTAGAGTATTTGAATTTCATTATTATAAAAGCTAAAATTGTATAAAATATAAATATAAATGATAGCTAATCACTAATATACTTATTTATAGCTTATTAATTAAGTTATAATAGCTTTAGTATAAAAAGAATTATAATATATTAAGTAATTAACGTATTCCATCACCAAGCAGGCCACATCACCAAGTGTGCCACTTTTTCTTAGCATTACGAACTTCACGTACGAAAGATAATGCCCTAACAATAGAACGCAATATTAACTTAGTAAGAAGGTAGGCTTACTTTAGCTATTTAGGCCTATTATTGTAATGGGCGGGCCCGTTGGGCCCGCCCATTACAATTATATAGGCTGGTTTAAGAGCATTTGACGCGCTGCAGCAGCCTATAACGTCTATTATTAGCAGATCTCTTAGCGGCTTTAAAGAATTACCTTTTAACCTATAATATAGCTAAATTGCTAGAAGCTAACTAAGTCTAAAGAGCAAACTATTATATAATATATTCTTAACCTAGAATTATAAGGATTTGCCCCCTATCTATATAAAGTAGTAGATTGTTACAAGTAACAAAGGGAAGGATCCTCTCCCCAGACGCTGACGACAAAGGGTTGAGAAACCACTTGGGATGCATGACAGGGATCGCCGCGGGGCAGCGCAGCGATCACGTGACTGACATCACGCCAAGACCAACCATCAGGACTAGCGATGTGATGGCAGCTTTTATGTGATGGCAGCCATTAGGGACATTAGGAAAGACTAGGATTAAGTTGCGATGGCAGTGATGGCAGGACTGGAAGCAATGGGTATAAGAATGTGTCGGATTTCATTATTACACTCGTTGTGGTCAACTTATTATACTGTACTCTCTTACAAGTTCTTTACTTAACAAAATTAGTACTTTGTTATTCTATCTTACTATAGAATTAATTGTCTTACTATCGGTTAAACATCTATAACTCTTTTCTACTCGAATTACTCGGCAATCGCACGGCTTACCACGAATCTGCTAACTCACCCTAACCCGGACTGAGTCTTAGCTAAATATAGTCGAACCCCGTGTAACATAGATATAGCAAAGAAACTACTACGTAAATAAGATAGCGAGCCTTTAGGCAAATACTAGGTAAAGCGGTTTATTACTTTTATATAGACGCGCTTAGAATAGCCTTTAGTTAAGCAAAGGATTATTAGAGAACTTAATAACAGGATCTAGAGATTATTAACGCGTAGTTTAAGCTTATATAAGACATAGTTAGGAAGTATAGAGTTTATTTAGACAACATCTATAACTTCAATAAAACTAGCTTTTAGATAGGCGTAATTAGCTTAATAAAGGTAGTTATAGGCGCAGAGCGTTGTACAAGGCCTACTCTTACGTAGCTAGGCAATCGCGAGTAGGTTATAGTTATTTAGAGCATCTGCGCTATAGAATATGCTACTTTGCTATTTATTATCTACAAAAGACGCGTCTACATCTCTATATAGTATAAAAAAGTAGATATACTATATAACTAGAAGCTTTTAGTATTAGAGAATAGCTAGACAAATAATAAGCTTAGTCTTGCGTAGTTCAAGCACTTTAATAAGTATATAAAGACGCGTTAGGTAGGGTTATATAAGTTACTTATCCTTAATAGCTATAAGAGCCACCTTAACTAAGAATTTAAGAATTACTACCTTATATAAAAGATTCTTACCCTCTATATACTTACTTATTTATTGTATATACTTTAGCTACTTAACGTTATCTACTTTTTACCTCTTAAGTAGAAGTACTCTTAACGCGTATAAGATTTAGCACGCTATTATATCTAGTGTATTAATAAGGAGCGCTTTCTTCTAGCCTTTTAAGACGCGTTTTTTAATATATTTATATCTAATAACTACAAGAAGGCCTTTAAGGTAGTAAGGCTAGTCCCTATTAACGCGTAAAGAGTTATTAATTGCCTTAACATACGCCTTTATACTCTACTATAAGTGTAAGAGGCTACGCCTAAAGTGTGTGTGTGATCGAGTATATCTATACGACTACCTAGACTTCAAGAAGCTTGAAGTCTTGTTACTGCCTTTTTGGCAATGGATGGCGTAAGTAGTCGTACGCTCGGCCCGTTGGGCCCGCCCATTACAATAAGAAGCTTAGCTAGAAATACTTCAAATATTAAAAACACTAAGTAATTCGCATAAATTTAGGTTATAATTAAAGCTTATAAAAGAGTCTTTTATACAATTGCTAAATACTATATAAGAAGGCTTTTTAAAGCTTATTAAAGAGGCTAAGGAGATACTATATAAGAATGTGCTTATAAAGGCCCGCGTAAGAGAGCTTAAAGAGCAATTAGTAGTAGTAACAAAGCGCTAAGGGCGCAAAAGAAAGCAAATTTAGATAAGTAGGACACTAGACTTTAGTGTAGAGGCATTATAGGTAGCTAAAAGTAGTTCTGCTAGTTGTACAACATTAAAGAAGGCACGTAGTAAGAGTAGTTAAAAAAGGGCCCTACTAGGTTAATAGCACTATAGAACTTATAGGAGAATAGGCTATAACTATTGTACGTGCTAAAAAGATGTAGAAGAAAATTCTTTTTTAGATATAAGTAAGTTGTATAAAGCATCTATAGCTAGTGTAGAGTAATCTAAGTTTTTGTATATAAAGTTTGTAATGCTAAGAAAAAGTGGCACACTTAGTGATGTGGCCCGCTTGGTGATGGAATACTTTAATAAATTTATACTAGAAGTTTATATATACTTTATTCAAGCTTAAAAAAGTAATATATAAAACTTTTATACTATACAATCTACATTTTACTTAGTTACTTAAATTAGTACTAAAAATCTTAAAACTATAATAACTTTATATTTAATTTATAAAACTTTCTATAATTAATATATATTATCTACTTTAAGTAGTGGTTTAATATAAAAAAAGAGAAAAAGATACTATTCAAAAATAGTTATAACGTGTTTCACCAGTGTGCGCCCCACCCTAGTGTGCGCCCTATTAAATCCTACTAACTCACTTTCACATTAGTATTACGCAACACCACCACAATTATTCTAATTAAGTAGAATAGAATCTTATTTTATAGACTCTTCACTATTATCTTTATCCTCTAATTCTACTTAGTAGGTGCGAGAGTTATATCTAATTTAGCTACAACGTCTATAGCGCTGTTCACTACGCACCCTCTTCGCAGGTGTTACACTATTATTATAGCTACTACCCTCTACCTTAGTAATCTAATTAGCTATCTAGCTAACTATCTATAACTCCTCTGCCTATACGTAGCGCTGCTTATAAGTTTCTCGCTTTATTAACGTTTTAATAGTCTCTTTTAGGCGACCTATTTCATCCTATATTAATACTATTTAATAAGCAATCTACTAGGCTTCTTTACTTATTTACCACATCTACTCCTTAAGAGATGCTATAGAAGACCCTTACTAGATTTTTATATAGTTTTTAATAAGCGTACTATGCGCCTCTATTTCGCGCGCGTTGCGCGGCGTTTTTAGCTTCTAAGTAGTAGTCTCTTAGACTAGTAGAGTTAGTGTATATAGTACAACGTTAACCTATAATAAAACAGCGTAAGAATTATGTGGCATAAGTCCTGCACCTTAAAAGCCTGCATTGATATTATCTACTATAATTATCTTATTATAGGCCTCTTTAAACGTGAGTAGGAAGGTTTCTTTACTAATATAGTAGATGCGATTGCGTGCTAAGACTAAGATAGCATTACTATACGCGCGCTTTAATGGCGAGAAGCAGCCTACATTAAGTAGCTGTAAGAGGTGCGACGAATGCGGAGGCATACAGAGGAGGATAATCTTCTTCTCTTCGCAGAGATCTTAGAATTCTACTAAGCAGTGGCTCTTATAGCTATTAATAAGGAGCAGCCTATAGGTCCCTACAAGACGCGCATAGGAATTGAAGTAATAGAGCTAGTCAAGCGCTAGCTTGTTGTTTGTCTAGCTATTAGGACTAACTTAGATTACCTAGTCGCGTGGCAGATCCTCTATAAACTAGGTATAGATTAGAAACTTGCCTGCAAAGATAAGAAAGGCTAGAATGCGCTTTCCTATCGCGCTAACACCTTATATTAGTGTAACCTACTCACAATTACCTAGCTAAATCTTCTTTAACCTTTCTAGTTTATCTAAGCCTATAATAACTAACTATAATAAAATCTTGCCTATAATAAAGCCTGTCTTATTAAAGTTGTAGATATCTTCGTCTACAATACTATACTTTGCCTTTGTAGTTTAAACTAGCTTAAACTAGCCCTTAATAAGAGCTAGATCTTTGTAGGCAGCTTGCTAACAATTATATAGATAGCTCTAGCGCGTACGCAGCTTAGGATTGCGCTAGATAAACCTATCCACCTAGTTCTTACTAACCTCTTCTCCACCACGCTCTTAAAGCAGTCTATTAGCTATATCTCGCACGTCGTCTCTCCCACAAGGTAGTCCTCGCTTAGCCTTAACTAGTATACGCCTAGTAATCACCTCCTCTTCTAGTTTTGTTAGGCGCTTAGTTAGTAGTTCGTAGTTGCGTTAATAGGGCTTTCTAGCGCGTTGCTGCTATATTATCTATCTTAGCACGCTATAGATTAATTTAGCGTGTCTTAGACTTTGGTTATTATGTTTTTAGAGATAAGAGATAGCAATAATAATATTAGCTTTAGTATAGGTTTTTTGAGATTAGGGTTGTTAAGACATCACGCGTTGTTGTTACGAAGGTGAGGTGTTAGGATTTGATGGGGCGCACACTGGGGTGGGGCGTACACTGGTGAAACACGTTAACTTTTTCTATACTTTTATATATATATCTTTCTATAGCTACTTACTATGTAAAAAGTAAGTTTACTACGCTAAACTACTAGCCCTCTATATTCTAAATCTTTGCTTTACTGATTTTTAGCCTTTTAAATAGTAGAGCTAACGTACCCCACAGCTTCGCGAGCCACACAGGTTCGCGAGCCACTTTTGCCAAGCCCTCACCAAAACTAGTACATTATGTCCTAAAACAGCCCAACTTTAGCCAATATAGTGCAATAAAATACAAAATGCTATTTAGAGACTACTTCTGCTACATTCTTACAAGTTCGCGCGTTATGCCTAGTCCTATTGCACTGTCCACACCGCCGTTAAGACGGTTCACCCACTTTAGCGCGCTTCTGCTTCTTTAACTTCTTCCCATCACTACGCACCTTAAAGTCCTAGAGAGCAGTTAAGCGCGCCCTATCTTTAACTATTAAGGTCCCCTCCGCCTGAACCCGCTTTCTTTTATGCGATTTTTGTCGCATTACGGCCTTATTTGCTACTTTAAGCTTAGCGATCTCCTTTTACGCCAACACTAGCTTATGCGCGATAATTGCTGCCCCCTTTAAGACCTTTTCAAAGGCCTCTACAATAGACGTTAGCGAACTATTCATATGCCTCTAAATCCTCTGCTTTACTAGCGTTAATTGCGACCCTAATTCTAGGGTATTGCTAGGCGTTTGCGACACCCAAAGCTAGTTGTTAATAGGTAGCGGTGATAGAGTGCGTAGCTTGATATTAAGCGTTGATATAACCTGTTCTAGGTTAAATAGGACTAATCTAGCGCCTTAAAACCCTCCTTAGACATTGCTAGCTATAAATAAGGCGTTAAAAGCCCGCTTAATACAAGATAGGAACTCTTGTTTAGTGATGTGGCTGATCTAGCTGCGCATGAGCGATTCGACTTAGCGCCCATAGGCCTGCTTTAAAGGGGCAAAACAGCCCACATCAAGAGGCTGCAAGAGGTGGGACGAGTGCGGAGGCATGCAAATAGTGATAATACCCTGATCTTTGCAGTACTTTTGGAAATCTAGCGAGTTATAGCTCTCATGGCTGTTAATAATAAGTAGGCGGTAGATACTAACCTTCTTTGTCTTTATATACTTATTAAAGTGCTTTAGCCACGCAAGACTAAGCTTATTGGTCGTCTAGCCGTTCTTAGAGACTCTAATAACCTAGTTCTAGGGTATATCGCCGTCCTTATACCAGCTTAAGAGGTGGTGGCGCGCCTTAAGTATAATAAAGGGCGGAATCGTCCACCTGGTCGCATTGATGCCCTAGATGACTATTGCCCACTCTCTATTGCTAGGCTGGATAGTCTTTGGTCGTCCACGTCTCTCTAAAGCTGTAACAACAGCTCTAGAGGCAATCTAGCCTATTATAAAGCTAGTCTCGTCAAAGTTGTACGTGTCGTCGTCTACAATACCATACTTGGCTTTCATGCGGGCTACTAGGTCAAACTAGGCCTAGATAGTCTTAGGATCCTCACAGAGGGCTCTCTTATAGTCGTACTTGCGATTAAAACGCGTCACAAGCTTAGATCAACGTTTAACAAAGGTACTAGGCTAGTTTTGGCTAACCTAGTCTAGATTACGCTTAGCGCGCAAGGAATTAGCTATATTAGCCATGTCTGCGAGCCAAGGGGGAAATCTACGCGTAACTAGCTTAAGTATATACTTAACAATCACGTCCTCTTTAAACTTAGTTAGATTCCTTGTTTTTAGCTAGCGATCTGCCTATAAAGGTCGTCTATCGCGTCTTTAGCTTAGTGTTGTTTGATCTACGTTATAGATAGCTGCAGCGCGTCGTAGAGAGAGAGTCGTATCTTGTTTAAGAGCTTAAAGAGCAAGCTATATCTAACATTCACTAGAGGGCTGTAACTGCTATTGTTGTTGCGACATTAGGGTGGGGTAGTAGTTTTGGTGAGGGCTTGGCAAAAGTGGCTCGCGAACCCGTGTGGCTCGCGAAGCCGTGGGGTACGTTATTTAAGTTTTAAAATTCTTATTTTTTTAAATACTTTTTTTTAATGTCACCCCTCTGTACGTTCTGTGCTTACTTACTTACTTACTTACTTACATAAGTCACCTTGCTTTACCTTTTTTTCTTGGCTTGAATATACACGGTGCTGTGTGTGTGTGTATACGTGTATATATATATATATATATATATATATATATGTGTGTGTGTGTATATATATGTGTGTGTGTATATATATGTGTGTATGTGTATATGTATGTATATGTGTATATGTGTGTGTATGTATGTATGTATGTAGACATGATGAATAATACATGTACTTGATGTACTCTGAATTTTTCATCTTTTAGAATCTTCTTGGCAGCACAATCAGTTCACCAGTCTAGTCTCGCGAAATCAAAAGATGCAAGATACACTGCTGCAATCCCAATCGTATACGTAGCTCGTACTCATATCTCCAAATCTCACAATCTAGAATCTACAATCTGCAATCTAGTCACTAGACCAGCACTACCCAACCCAACCCAGCCCATCCCAGCAAGAGGGAGCGAATTAGCACACAAGCCGCATGCATGCATGCAGCGATTGCGTGTGCGCGTTGCGTCTAGGGTTGCGTGTTGCGGCTGAAGCCCACAGGCCTTTTTTTAGGAGCTGCAAGCCACATGTGCAGGATAGCTACTTAGGTGTAAGGCTTTCTGCAGGTTTAGCGTCGCCCAATAGGAGGGGGGGATTGAGGAATGCTGCAGAGGCGCGTGTGCAAGCCGGTTTGGTGCGGCTGAGGAGGACTTGGATACTTTGTTGTTGTTTTTGTTGTTGTGGTGGTTGTTGTTATAGTGCTGTGATGTGCTGTGCTGCGTTGCGTTGCGTTGCGTTGCTAGGTGGACGCAGTGGGCTAGACTGTTTCCTTCTAATGTTTCCTTCTGAACATGTACGTCGTGGTGGTATACCTTTGTATGCATAAACTTACACTTACACTTACGTAGCTAGCTAGCCAGTTACACCCCACTTCTCTTGCTATGCTACACATGGCCAAGCGCAGGCACGACATATCTAGATAACCGTCAGCGGACAGAACCAAGATCGAAGGAGTCCCTTCTAAGACGCCTGGCCATATGCGTCGACAGTAGGCCGATTCTGTTGCTGGGAATCTCGTTATTGAGACAGCTTTCTGGTTACCATGGCCTGGTTCTTCGGCCGGTTCAAGATGTTTGCTTGGTTAGTTTTAGGAATTTTGCGGCACCCCCATGTGTCTGATTCTGATCACTCACCACTGTTACTGACAGTGCGTGCGTTACCAAATCGTTCCAGAGATTCTGGGTGAATGCTAATTAACGCTACCCAAACGTATCATTTGATACATATTTCCCATGTTTATCCCTCTAGTCCGCCAGCGCATCGAGCTCTGCGGTGTCCATCTCTGTCCTCTTCCCCGTACCCACGAATTATGACCCCTTTCCTGCAAAGACTTGAGTTTCCTACATACTAGACTATTCTCGCCCCACGCCCCTTTCTCAGTATAAATACGATCAATGGCGTCTTAATATGATCATCTTTCGCAGCCTTATCAGCACTCTGTTCCAGTAGAAGGTTGAAGAGATCGGGGCTAAAGTTGGAACGGGAAAACTGAGATTGTGGCCAAGTAGTGTGCAACGGTATTGATCCAGCTTGGTCTCAGGCGTTGATGTTGGCACCATGGTCGAGAAGCATGGTTATGATAGCGAGCGTTTGGGCCATCTTGGGGCCGTGATCCCGCGAAAAGTCGCAGACGGAATGCAATGCAGTTTCTCCATCGAATTTGACAGTGCAAATATTCACACCGCGCTCAGTCATGGTCCTCACGACGTCGGCGTCGCCGTTGTGTGCCGTGTTATGGAATACCGTGCGCCCATCTGAAGCAATGGTCTGGACATCTGCACCGCGCGCAAGGAGGATCTCGATGACTTGGTCGTATTGTTCGCGGTAAGACATTTAGTCATTTCTCCATTTGGTTTTTATGGTGAATAGCAGTGGAATCCATTGCTTTCAGTTGCAGTCTCATTGACCATGGCCCCTTTCGATAGGAGAAACTTCACAACACCCACGCCAAGCTTCGCAGGCCAGTGAAGCGGTGTTTCGCCATGAATATTCTTTGCGAATAATTCTGCGCCGTGTTTGAACAGTAGCTCCACAAAGGAAGCATGGGCGACCAAATGTAGAGGTGTGTTCAAGTTGGCGTCTTGAACCGTTACTTTTGCTTCTGCTTCGAGGAATCCTTCAATGAGACTGGATTCATCGTTGAAATCTCAATAAGACCAAAAATGGCATTTGACCTTTAGCAGACGTCTTGTAGTGTTGCAGCCCGTTGTGTAGTAGTAGAAAAACTATGTCTTAGGAATGAATGAACAGTCCAAACACGCCCAGAATACAGTCAGTTTCAGATCCGGATGCTCTCAATTTACATCTGCACCGACTGTGATGAGCTTCTGCATAACAGATGATTGTATCGCAGCCTGTCTGCATCTGTCCTCACATTCAAACGGCCGCGCTGCGTTCACAAGTGCAGGACTCAGACATGACCTGTCGTGTGGAACCGAATCTGCTAAAATTCCTTTGATGTGCACCAGGATGAGTTTGACTGGCTCAAAGTGCCAGCACAGTGCCGCTTGATCTGAAGCAGCACCCAAACTCTCTAGTCTACGCATATCGCAAAAGTCATTTTGGTACAGTCCTTCCAGAATGACATGCATGCAATCCACGCGATTGAGAGTGCCAGCTGGCGTCTTGAATTCGAAATCCAGCAATGCAATAAGTGCATGGGGGTTATTAAGCCTGGCGGTACTGTTAATGGCATCCACAGACTTCATCACTGATGGTTTAATGTTGTCCAGTAAAGCTGCATTTGCCCAGGCAGATAGCAGTATGCGAACAGTCTCTGCATCATCTACCCTGATTGTGAGTTAGAGTGGCGTAAATTTATGTATACTGCAAGCATTGAAGTTGACACCAGACGCGATCAAGCTGTGACTTGGACTTTGTCGCCCTTGTACAAAGCTTTGTGTATAGGCAGATCGCGATCGTGTACTGGATCTTGCTCGACAGAATCAGATTCACGTTAATTACTCCCTCTGATCTTTGCTGAATGCGACATTTTCCGACCGTATTTCAATCATGCTGCCGTAGGTGGTGATGGTAAAGAGGGAGGAGTCTTGTTGCTGTCTGGCTAGTTGCGCACGGATCGAGCCAGGCCACCAAAACCCGTGTAGACGTCTAGTCCGCGTGCCCAACTAAACCTGTTTTGCAAACGCGGATTGGGGGCTGTTTTGACGGGCAATCCAAATTCGTCTGTTAAATGAGCCATACGAACAGCCTTGTCGCCATAATAGTGTGAAATAAGCCCTTGGCTCACCAGTCGTGCGATTCAGAGCCCTGCCGCCATCACCTTCTCAAAAGAAATAAAAGACCCTTAGCTCATGCCTTTAGCAGGTATTTTCGGTAACTTTTGAGAAGTTGCCGCTATATGTTAAGATTGCGAATATGCATAGTACATGTAACTAGATCCTTCGTGAAGCGTGGCGTTCTGGCCAACACACCGAAATACCATGTTGCTCAGTGCACAAGACTTGCACTACATTTGTACCTGCATATCTTTTTGCCTAGATGGATCGATTTTATTTGGCCCCACCCGTTCTAGACAAAACCGCACCCCTCCCATGCCGCGCCATATTCATCTGACCCCAGCTCGCGTAGCCGTGTGCAGAAGCGTGATACCTTTATCCACCACAACCCTAACCCTGAAACGTAATTATTCTATGAGCTTTCATGAGTTGAGTTTGAGATACGCATTTACACATGTGTCTAGTGTATTGTAGCGAATGTTCCTGTTGATAGTATGAGTATTATCAGAAGAGACACATGCCAACAGCTTACAACAAGGACTTCCACTAAATTCGCACACCTCTCCCCACATGTTCAACCCGGTTGCATATTATACGACCGCAAAACTTCTGAAAAATTCAGAGTGATCGCAATGACTCAATTTTCTCTTTGTCACAACTCATATTTGGATGGATACAATATGTCAAGCCAGCAACCAGCTTAGCTGCATTCTTGCACAGTTTCCAACAATGGATTGGCTGTAACGAACGAATTTGCTAGAGTAATGGTAGCAGCCATAATGATCTTGCAATTGTCGCCTTTTGAGCAGTGTAGAACTGATCGTATCGAGTGGTAGATTAGGTCGCAAGTTTCGCGCCCGTTGGTCAAACAGCTGTGTTGTCGGAGTACACATCACCATCTCGTCCAGGGCCTGCAGCACTGCCATCTGTTTCGTCCACGCAAGGGGAGACGTAAAATGTTCTTCCAAAGTTTAGTTCTATCTGGTCGATATTCAAGCATTGTGGATCGATTATTCCATTCCATCATGGTTTTCTGTTTTCTCGCGAATCGAATATGGGTATCATGTCTAAAATAAACACATCAACAAAATTGAGCGTTCTCCTATCACCCGGCAGGTTCACAAATATTGGCAGAGTTTTATCGACTATGTTTCCAGGCTTATTGTATGGGCAGGTATCATTGGTGAGAACATAGAGGAATTCGATAACAAAGTATGAGGTGCCAGTAACAAAGCTTGCCTCGAGCTATGCACCTAAAAACACCTATTAGTAAACACTGTAACCTTGTTTCCTATATCAGATGGCTAGATGTAGGCGATATCGTGTTAACAGGCTAGGCCTAATTGAGCATGTGCTTCAGCCTTCCCTCCTTCTACGCGATTACCCCACCGCTGCTGCCTTGGACATCTTCAAACCTCCAAACCTTCCATAATCCCAACAAGAACCATCAACATGCGTCTCATCAATCGTACAACGCTGGAACTCGAAGAGTTCTTCGGTAACAGTATCCCACCCTATGCGATCCTGTCACACACGTGGGGCGACGACGAGGTAACATTTGTCGATCTGCCTCTGGACAGTCCGAAAACAAGAGCCCGAGCAGGGTACCAGAAGATTGAGTTCACCTGCCAACAAGCACTGGCGGATGGAGTCGGCTACGCATGGGTCGATACCTGCTGCATCGACAAAAGGTCCAGCTCAGAGCTCTCCGAGGCTATCAACTCCATGTTCGCTTGGTACAGAAGCGCAGATCACTGTTACGCATACCTATTTGACGTCCAATCCAGCATTGAGGAAGAACAATTTGGCAGAAGTAGATGGTTTACACGCGGTTGGACGCTACAGGAGCTACTAGCACCTAGAGACGTGGTTTTTTACAGCCAACAGTGGGAAAGACTAGGCCAAAAATCAGTGCATACAAATCTGATATCCAAAATCACGGAGATAGACGCAGAGGCCTTGATCAAGACAAGTACGCGACGCCGTGGAGGTCACAATCCATTTGGCTCATATTGTGTTGCTAAGAGAATGTCATGGGCCTCAAGAAGAGAAACAACACGTATAGAAGATTTGGCCTACTGTCTGCTGGGAGTTTTTGACATCAACATGCCGCTTCTATATGGAGAAGGCAGCCGGGCCTTTCATCGACTCCAGGAAGAAATAATTCGAAGAATCGACGACGACTCTATCCTTGCCTGGGGACTAGATCCGGATGCCGCTTCTTGTTCTGAATCTACGGCAGATTTTTTGAAGAATTCTCGGCAGATTCATACCTATTATGAAGAGATACTAGCCAGATCACCGTGGGAATTCAGGAACTGCGGTAGCCTGAAGCGTCTTGCGTCATCAAGAATACCTTTTGCTCTGACGAACGCTGGTCTAACCATTACGCTGCCAATCCTCTCATTGTCTCGCTCAGATGAAGATGGCGAATCCACTGTTGATATTGGAGAGATTGGAATCCTTAGCTGTGCCGTGGGTAATAGTTTACGCTTTGTGGGCATTCTTCTCCGTACAAACAGAGATACGGATCGTTCCCGAAAGCGTTTTAGCCGGGTCAAAATTTACTCCGCACCCCTTCTCATTAACTCGTTCACTTTGGGCCCAAGAGATGCTGTAAATGCAGTGAGCTCCGCAATTACCATTGACAACCCTCACTGGACACCAAAGATTGGCGATCGGGGCCGAATATATCAGCAGATTGTTGTAAACATATCTGCAACTATGCAAAATACAGGCTACCGCGTCCAAGACGCGCATTACTGGAGCACAGTGTGGCGTGGGGGAAGACATGGTGAAAATGAAGAGGGGTGGAATCCCGAGGCAATGACATTTACCCTGATCACCTTTGATGATCCCAACAGCGTCATTGGATTCTACTTTGAATCATTGTGGTTGTGCGACATTCCCAAGTTTACCGTTTTTATGCGTACTGATAGCAGTATCGTCATCGTACGGCATAGAGACGAATTTTCCGACGACGAGAAGCTCCACTTCTCTCAACATCTCGGACTCAAATCTTCCGAATACGATTATGATGAAGGTATCATCTGTGACAGGCAAGGGAAGCCATATAGATTAAAAATCGGGGTCCGCACTGTGACGGTGCATCACCGTGAAATATCCGAGCTCACTATCGACGCCGTTCCGATCGCTATTGACGGCAATTAGGCTATTCAATCGCATCTTGAGGGTTTGAAGTTCTTTAGGGTTCACAGAGGTTGTTTAGCGGCACCCACATATTCTACAAACACGGGGTTTCCAACGCACATTGAAGCATGGAGTAGGAGGACATGTGTTGGATTGAAGCTCCAGAACAGAGTAGCCATGTACGGTATCGAGCTAGTCCTATCTGGGTAGGATGTTTCCAGGTCCAGGCGGTGCCTTCGCTATACATAGACTGCACTTTCCCACAAACCAACACATGCATACGTGTACTCACTCCTTCACACAAACAACATGTACACCGTGTCGCAGACGACGCCTTCACAATGCACACGCCCGTACATTCACGAAATAGCCTAGATAAAACTGATATCAGCACCTCTCACTCTCACCACCACCACCACCACTCTCACAACCACCCACTTTGAGCCGCGCACCAAGCCCACAAACGAGACTGGATTTCTCCTCAGAGCACTACTGCAACGCCTCAAACCCCCACTCGAGCAATAAAACGCACCCAGAAAAACTAAACAACGACCAGCACTCTACATGCGCTGGTTCAGCATCCGACCCCGTCGTGGGCACACGATCCACGGTACCCTCGGCGGCGCCACATACCACTACGATGACAGCGACGAGGAACATGATTCCCGGTACCCGGATTCATACCGCTATGACTTTGCGCCGTAAGTAGCCGTCTCTCTGCACCTTCCCCTTGTTTGTCTGCTCGGGTCGTACCTGCCCTTTTTCCTCCTCTGCTCCAGTCGCTCCTTCCCTTTCTCCGGAAATTTGACAAAGTATTGCGGGCATGAATAATACATACGACCATAGGCTCCAGAAAACAATGTCTCTCGTTTGCTCGGCAATATTTAAGCTGGAGACCGGCGGATTAGTAGTCAGGTGGGTGACCACTGGCGAATCCCCGCTGTTGTATGTTTTTTTTTGATTTTTTCTTTTCACCCCGTCTGTTTTGCGATTTAAAAGACTTGCAGGGTGTTGTGTATCGCTACTACTGCATTTGTTTGCTCGTTGTCCAAGATTGGAAGTAATGAATGGTGTCATGCTAGGTATTACTATGGCCCCACGTTCGACTACGCTGGGTACACGAGCGGCAGGGCTCGTGGTGGAAGAGAGCATTTTTATCATCATGCGGGGTCTAGGCGCGAGGTGAGGCGGTATGAAGGTGATGAATATGGTGGTGGTAGGTATGATTACAGGCGGGGATGGGGATTCTAGTGTGTTGAGAGAGGATGCAGGAATAGTATGAGAGTAGTAGTAGGCTGGAGATTTTCAAGTATACTTTATTATAGGGAAGTCAGCATGTCCAGTCGTACTGGTATTCTACTCGAAAGCATGTGGATAGGGTAGGCCAGGTCGGCTTACCTAGCATGCTGGGTTTCTGCATCCATCAAGTCATGTGACTATTTTACTTGATGAATATCGCATTCATGATTCCAGCCACGTCACTGCAATACAATGTTTAGAAATCATTGAAATAGAATGCTATAACAACTTGATGTTTTTTTTTCAATTTAATCGTCTTACGCGCAATCCGCTCTTGCGAAATCACCTTCATCATCATCATCATCATCATCATGCTCAAACGTGCAGCAGACCCAATTCTACTACTGCATGTCCTACCAAACAGCGGTGACGGCAATTTGGTATCCTTAGGGGGGGGTATATAACAACAGGCATCAAGGAAATACTAAAAGAAAGACATTGGGCTCATGGCGATCGTAATCCATAGTCCCCATACAAACTCATCAAACGCATGCAATTTAAAATCGCAAAAAAAAAGCCAAAGAACCGCTCCTTTCTCTCACTCTCAGTGTGGATAGGATGCGAAAATCTTCTAGTACAGGGCCTAGAATCGAGGGAAGGGGGGGAACGTGCTTAGATGGCAGATTTTGTGGGTTGGCGCGAGCGGCGTTCGCTGCGACGGCCCAGACAGCAGGCTGCGAACCAGGCCAGCAGGGCAACGAGCATGACTCCGGTAGCGGCCCAGGTGATGGCGAGGAACTTTGAGCCGTAGGACGAGTTGAGGCCAATGGGTCGGCCGTGTTTGTTGATAATGTCAGTGCCCTTGACCATGACGGCGGTGACGAGGGCGCTAGCAAGGCCGATGGCGAGGAAGGCGAGGGCAATTAGGCCGATATTAAGGCAGGCGCTTAATCTGCCAGAAGTGAGGATACCCACCACACTCGTGACGAGGGCGATGAATTCCAGGCAGATTGCGATGACGTAGAGAACAAACATGGCGGCCATGACGGCGTTCAACGTGTCGATGCCCTTTTGGATGTCGTCGGGCCACTTGAGATCCTGCAGGGTAATGCCCACGCCAGACTTGTTGAGGGCCTGCTGGATGATTTTTGTGGGGTCAAACTTGTACATGGCCTTTTCCTTTGAGCACTCGGTAACGTTGCGCTTGATATCGTCTTGCTTGACCGTGGCATTGGCCACCTCGGTGGGCGTGTATTGTCCTTGGCAGTAGTTGAGCATGTGTGCCGAGTACCAGTCTTCGACGCCGATGCGTTCGCGGACCTCGTCGATTTTCTCGTTGATCTCGTTGGTGACGCTGTTGGTGAGCGAGTCTGGGAGGAGGTTGATAATCGTCGAGGAAACGGAATTGGAGCTCGCGGCGTCCTGGACGAGGTTTTGGCCAACGGCCGAGGTGTTGAGTGTGATGAGAGTGTAGTCTTCCATGAAGCCCTTTTTGTGGCCTGCAAAGAGACAAAGGAAGGACAGGACCAGGGCTACGGTGCAGCATAGCACTGGGACGACGGCGAGGAACCGCATCGTGGCGGATTACGTGCTGGTGGTTTGGGATGGGGTTGGTAGTGATCGGGCGAGTGTAAGGCGGACGCGCCGACAAAAGCGCTGGAGCGAGTGGACGTCTTTGATGAGAGTGTGTGGCGCCAACGAGTCAAAGGCTGGTTATATAGAGAAGATGCTCTGGGTTGCTGAAACCCTGGAATGCAACAAGCCTCTGGCCCAAGGCCGCACGTCACTGGCGCAGCCATGGCGGCAAGCAAGTAACAGGCCAGTAGGGTGACACCTCAGCCTCCCGATCAACGCCTTGGGATACAGAAGCGGCTGTTTTTAGCACACCGACTACCGTGTTGACGTGGTTGCGCGGGCGATGGTTGGTACGACGCTGCGCTAATGACGTAACCCCATGGCTAAGCGAGACGGCCATGCAGGGGGGCAAAGCAGGACGGGCAGAGACAACCAGGCAGAGATTGACTGCTTGGGCACCAACTGGACCAGAAGAAAGGCAGAAGAAGAAGAAAAAAAGAGGGCAAAACAAAGACGAATCTCGCTGTGCACTGCGGCCGGTGAGGACAGAGTTTGCAGCGCGCGTCTACATGAGCCACGTACTGTAGATTCGAGGTGCACAGCCGCAGTTGTGCGTACGCGTCTACGACGTGATCAGTCCGCAGCAACACGATGCAGACTAGCATGCAAGGGAAGAGCACCAGAGGCAAGAAAGAAAGAAAAAAACTCAAAGCTGGTTGCTGCAATGGGATCATATTCGAGTCTATTGCTCTTTGGGCCCATCTTGTACCTGTGATGCTTTGTCTATCATGACAACTATGAATGCGTTGCTTTCGTAAGCGGAGCAGCCTGTGCTACCGACATGTCGAGTGGCGTCGTGCTGGGAATGGGGTATGGAGGAATACAGTAGTAGTGTAGTCGTACTGCGCATGGCCATAGATGAGACCGGGATGCGACGTCGCGTGGGCTCGGTACTACCCGGCTCTCACGAGGGCGACTTCTTGGGGTGTTTGGGAGGGTGCGGGGCAGGCGGCGCCGACGAAGACGACGACGACGACGAAGCAGAGGCGGCGCTGATTCCGTCTGTAAAGGGCGAGTATGGGGCAGCGACCGAATGAGGGGGCGCGCGGTGTCCGGCTTTTGTGCGCGGAGGCTCTGGGGCGCCGGGCCACTTGTTCTGCTCTTGGTGCATCTTGTCGAGGGGCTCTCCCACGATGTGGTACTTGTCCCAGTTGATCGGGGGGCAGCGCACAATGTTCTGCGGCTGGGGTATAGGGGGGAACTGGGGCGCATGCGATTCTTCGTCGGTGCGCGCCGAGTCCTTGCGGGCATCTGGACTGCTGACGTGGGTGAGGCCTGCCAGTGTGGGCGTGAGTGTATCATGATACGAGTGGGCGTGGTGGGCGCGCTGCTCGTGCAGCGAGCGGGCAAATGCTTCGGGATCGGCAACGGCCTTGGCCTTGAGGTCCTCGAGGGCCTTGAGGTCGCGCTTGCTCTTCTCGCGCTGCAGCTGCAGGAGCGAGATGGCGGAGCGCAGGGCGATGGCGTCTGGGTTGTCCGACTCGGAGATGGCAACAGAGGGCGGCTGGGGCTTGAACGTGGCCGTGGGCGGAGGGGCAGGGCGGGGTCGAGCTTCCGAGTGGGATTGGGATTGGGATTGGGATTGGGATTGGGATTGGGATTGGGATTGGGATTGCGCGTGCGAGTGTGATGAGTGGGAGCGCTCCAGCGGGGCTAGCTGGGCAACCGAGGCCGTCGGGGTGAGGGGCGACACGGGCGGACGGTCTGGCGTGGGCGACCTGGAGCGGTTGCGCGAGCGGTGCGAGCCTGTCGAGGCATGGGTGGATGAGGGAGGGCGTGCGCTTGTGTCGACCAGGAGCGCGGGCATGGCGGCGGCGGCGGGCGGCGGGCGGGCGTGGTGCGAGGATGTTCTCCAGGGCGCACACACACAGGCACGCACTCACAGGACGGCAGCGGCGGCGGCGACAGCGACAGCGACTCTGGTGGACAGCGAGCACGAACGAGCGTAGGGATTCGGTGGAGGAGGGCGAGGTCAGGCCACGCAGGGGCCTGGGGGGCTGGCAGCTAAATCTCCGGGAGAAGCTTCCGCCGCGTGTTGGCGGCGATTAGGCGCAGTCTCGCCCGTCCATGGCACTTGCAAAGGGCGACGAGGTGTGGGTGTGAGTGCGAGTGCGAGTGCGAGGGAGTGTGTGTAGGGGAGTGCCAGACACCGGCCAGCGGGGCTCAATTTGCAGTGGCCAGCAAGGGGAAGGGGCAGTTGGTGCTGGGCTGGCGCTGGGCTGGTGCTGGTGCGCGGCCATCGATCTCGTCTATCTGGCTCCGGCTGAGCCGAGCGACTGCCTATACCGACGCATTACACTATGCACGCTGCTAGCACTGCTACACACATTCGCATAGCCTACACCCATGGGCGCCCGCGCCGCCGCCAAAAGGCTGCCAAGCCACAGCTGCCGTGGGCGGGCGATGAGTAATATCCCCAGCATCCCTGCGTCGACTCACCGACATGGATGCACCGCGCCGCCTGCCGAGATGAAAGCACCACTGCCACTGCCACTGCCACCACCACCACCCGAACGCCTGCCGGGGTCAGCAAGCCACGCGCAGCAAGCACAAGCACAAGCAGAAAAAAAACGCCGCCACTGACCCAATGGCTGCAAATGCAAATGCCAGCCGCCGCCCGCCAATGGCTGCTCACGTGCGAGGCTCCCCTCCAGCCCTCAGTCGTTCCTGCCTGTCCCCTCCCTTGGCCGTGCGCGCCCTCAATCTGCGCCTGCTATTCCCAGCAGGCTCATGTCTGCAAACAGGGCTCGCCATGGCGCCTTCTCCGTCCCTTGCCGTGCCTCGCTTATATCATCACCGCACACACATATACACACTCCTATATGTACACACACGCCGACACACAACAACACACTCGCCCTCCCTCCCTCGACTACCGGCGCCTGCATGACATGCGCCACGCTCGTGAAACACCTGCCAATCAAAACGCCCGCTGCACGGGCATCGCTGGCCCGCTAGCCCGTAACTGATGGACCTACCGAAATCACGATCGTTAGCCATGGTCCCGAACGTAGCCTTAACAGCGCAGACCCCACCGGCGCGCATACCCAGGCTCAAGTACAGAAACCCACTGCCGGCACACAACGTCCCACACACGGCCCAAGGCACAGCGCCCCACCGTGCATATAGTAGCCAGGACGCGCCCACCACGCTCGCTCCAGAGTCCAGCACCACTCGCTCGCCCGCTGCCATTCACTCCCTTTCCAAACCGACCTCTGTGACGTCATCCAGTCTGGCTTCCCTCGCCTCCACCGCTTCTTCCACAAATGACGCCCGGTCGTCCAGGAAGAAGAAAAAGGCCAGCTCTGTGCTCGGCTTCCTTTCCCTAAAAGAACCCTCGCAGGCCGCCCTCGACCAGTATGCACAGCAGCAGCGCAAGCAGACGGCCTCGTCGGCATCCTCGACTCCCCAGTCCAGAGCCACGCCCACCCACGCCACCCAGCCGCTCCCTCACAACGTGCCCAAGGTCAATTCCAAGTGGGATGGCGTGCCCGAATCCGTCAAGAGCCGGAGCTCGACATCATCCAATGCCTCGGCGAGGGACAACAAGTCGGGCGTCTTGTCCAGAAGCTCCTTCTCCTCGTCTCTCAAGAGCAATCGATGGAACGATTCCAAGCTCTCCATCATGACCGACGGCACACGCAACCCGCCAAACTCGATTGCCTCCATCTCCGTCTCAAGTCTGTCGGTTCACGACATGGTCCAGTCTCCTACGTCTTCCGCAGCTGCGCCCTCCTTCCCAGATGGCCCAGTCACCCCTCCCTCTACACACGGAACGGGTCTCTTCAGCTCCCAGTCAACACTCAAAATGTCCGACTCAACGTCCAGTGAGCGTCCGAGCCTAGATGGATCCACTCACTCGAGACCTGACTCGCCTGCCTCTTCCATGTCATCCGCCGACACAATTATCATGGACACGGCAGACACCATTTTCAGGAAGATGAGCGCACGTCCAAACCAGGCAGCCTGGGGTGGAGAGGAAGATGCCGCCGAGTCCCCGCAAGATTGCACGCCGGATTATGTGCCAGAATCACATGACTTTCTTTTCCAGACGCAGCCTACTGTCGAGCCCCAAAACGACGAGCAGCCCGCCACATTCAATAACTATCCCGTCGACCTCTTTGCTCATTATTCTCCCATACGGCCTGTCCAAAACTTCAGTCGACCCACGGGACCACAAGGCCAACCAATTCAGCGCAAGCCGTCCATGTCGCTGTACAGGAGAACACCATCAGCACCCGCACTGCCCACCCTATACGAGGCCTCGGTAACCAGTCTAGACGAAGATGAAGATAAGGAAGAGGAGGATGGGAATGAAGATGCCTATTCGATTGCGCCTTCCACCATTGCACCTTCTGAGCTTTCCAAGCACTGGTACGAGTCTCCACGCGAACGTCTCGGACTGGGCAGGCGTCTTCAAATCAATGACGTCTTGCCCTGGGAGGAGCAGAAAGGTGCTGCAGGTAAGCCCAAGAAAAGTCGACTTTTGGTCTTTGGGAGGAGTGCGTCAAAGGGATAGCTTTGCAGGCAAAGCACGCACTCTGACTGACTCTTCACGCGTAGCACCGTGCGGTCCTCGGCGATTTCCCATCGACGCAGAACAGACACACCAAGCTTAGCTGGACTATCTCTTGTACAATGTTCTTTTCCCTTTTATCCGCGCATGGCCGTCTTTTTTTTTTACAGGTACAATGCCTTTGCAGCAAGTACTTTTTATCTGTCCTATAAAGATACCCATTTACGAACTCGACTCGACCCGACCTGTTTCGCTCTTACGGCTGTATTTACATAGTTGCCGATGCCTGTCATCTGTTTTAGTCGGGCCATACCGTACTAATTGTTTCCTATCTTCTTTTCCCTTTTTTCTTTTCCTTTGTCTCCTCCTCAGCTGGTATCGATGGAAAGAAGCAAGACTTTGTAAGCTCTTCTCGGAAATTTCATAATGTTTTTTTTTCTTATCTTTCTTTTCATCTCTCACCCAAATCCAACTCCAGAACACACACATACACACACACACACAAGAGTGGAAATCAGATTATAGTATCCCAACCCAAAGAAATACACTACAAGTTGTTACATCAATCACTGCCATGCGCAAGCTTTGAGCAAACAAACACATAAAAAAAATTAAAACTTCCAAATCCGAGTCCGAGGTGTCGCTCCGCTAGAACTGTTTTTCTGCTTCTTTTTCGCTGGTTGAGTTTAACGTGCAAATGCTAGCTTCCCCTCGCTAAGGAACATGCACTAGTTGGTGCCTATGGCTAGCCCTCCCGCTTTTACCCATTACCATGGGCATGTGCATGTGGGCTGGCTTCGACTTGGGTTTGTGTGGGGAGGGGGGCAAGCGCTTACTGCTTGTACCCACGGAACCATGCACGCCACGGGCTGAGTCGCAGTCTCAAAAAAAAAAGGTTTATCCCCTTGGCCTAATTCTACTTCATCCCAGGAGAAATTAACCTTTAGCATACCGTGTATACTGCACAGCATCTCAGCCCTACATCTCCACTACCACCACCACCAACCGCTGAATCGGTACATGGGCGGAATCTTAAAAAAAAAAAAAAAAAAAAGGGGGAAGGCATGTGGGAGAGGAAAAGACCATGACCAATGATAAATAAGCTTTCGTATTGAGCATACTTATGTCTGGCAAGCCATGTGCATGTCAGCCCTACCTATTGTACACAAGCACAACAGGTACAGTACACGCGAACATGCGGACGGAAAAATAAAACTAAAAAAAAGGGGGGGGGGGGTGAGGGGGAAGCTAAAAAAAGGTAAAAGGAGAGAGTGAGAGGGGAGAAGGGGGGGAACTATAGAAGCGGAAGTGATTAAGTGGGGAAGGGGGGAGGTTTGCATGCGAGGTTTTGGGAAAGGGGGGGGGTTGGTTGGTTGGTTGGTCTTGTTGCCTTGTTTTAGGGGTGTGGAGAGTCCTGTCTTGCCATTTCATGTCGTTTCATGTGTGAATCGTGAGGAAGGCCTAGGTATGTGTAGAGTGTACATGCTCTGTATGTATGCTTGAAGAAGAAGAAGAAGAAAAAAAAAGGGGGGGAGGGGGGGGGGAATAGAGAGTCAAATCATGGAAATGGAAAAGAGTTACAAATCGAAATATGTTGAGACGCGGGGAACATGCCCAAGTAAACTATGATTATTATTATTATATTATTATCAATCTGATATTTTACGCTTTGCACAATGGTGTGGAGAGGGAAAGGGGTGGTGGTGGAGTAGCATTATTCACTTGATTAGACTTTTAGTCAGACTGGGTATTCTGTGGAGAGTTGGATGGAAGTGTTGTAGTTGTTGTACGCAAGATAGGACGTTAAATAGAGTATACAGCACATTCATATTCCGATATCAACATAACATTGCATAACATGGCCAAGTTCGACGCAAGAATCTAAATTAAATACAAAGTTAAAATTCCTATTCTTATTCTAAGCTGTATAGTACCCTGTATGACTCTGCTTCTTCTTCTTCTTCTTCTTCTTCTTCTTCTTCTTCTTCTCTTTCCCCTGCAATGTTAGTCTACACTGATGATTTACATTTTGCTGTTACACACCGGCGTTGGTGATACATATATTCATCACACATTCATCCATCCACACATCTCTCACAACTACACCTACCAACCCTTCTTTCATTCTTCCCATTTCCTCGCTGTAGTCTAGACACTCCAACAGCTTCATCAGCAGTGACGTCAACACAGCCAGTCCTACGTCACATCACCACCACCAATACTAATCTCCTACTGCAGGGCAAATATCCCCGTTTCTTTTTCTTTCCGCCAAAAAAGCATTAGGGAAAGGGATGCTTGATGCAGCTACATGCGGTGGAACCATGGTACCAGCACCAGTACGCTGCGAGATCCCGACCCCGAATCCAGGGATAGCTAATCTTCTGGAAGCATAAATAGAAGCTGAAAGCTGAAAGCTTGGAATTGCTTTTTTTTCTCTCTTCCACTTGCGCGATAAGGAAATGCAGGGTGGTTTTTCCTACACCCAATGGCGATATATGGAGCTGTGCGGTACCCGAGAATCGCATGCTAGCCGTTGTTTGCTTGGTGGCTTGGAGGCGGGAATCGGGAATACTAGTCATGTCAGGCTGTGCCAGGTAGGCGTGTCAGGGATGTGTTCGGCCCCGTTGGTGTCAAAGCTGTCATGGCTGGGTCGTGATGTCACGATGCGAGCCCTGCGCATGCAGGCATGCAGTGTCATGTCGGTCTGCAGGGCGAAGCTTAACGGGCGGGGTCTATCCACTTGTTGAACCGTTTGCACGGTAGCTGGGGCGTGTGCGATGAAATTCGAGCGTTCGTATCGAAGCCGGCGGATGATGCACATTCAAGATCGATACGAGTAGACTGCTGAATTATTCCATATCATTACTCATGATGCTAGATATACAATGGTGTAGTCTTCGTAATACCTCGTGTGCTACCTTCTTGACCATGGCAAATTACTGCTCCTCGTTTTCAGAATAGATAAAGTTGGCCGCCACGGGAACCAGCCCATTATCAGTGGCCCACTCCCTCACACCACCGCCCTCCTTCCCAGTCCCCCAATGCTGGCGGTCCTCGGGTTTGCTCAGGTGCAGAGGCTTGGTGGTTCCGTTTTTGGGTGCAAAAACAAGAAACACGTAGCGATGCTTGCCGGTCTTGGGTGGCGGGCCAGGCGGCTTGTATTCCATGACATCCTGCAGCGCTGCAGCCGTGGATTCGCTTTGTTCCACCGGGCCAAATTCCGGCATGATGGAAAACGTGTCTGGAGCTATGGTGACGTTGGAGGCAATCCAGTGGCACATCTCGCTCCACTCAGGGTTGTCGCGTGAAGGCGCATCAGGGTCCGTCAGGGTGACAACGTAGCTCATTCCTGAGCTGGAATGCTTCCCATCCGGGCTTGTGTCGTCGTGTAAGACAATGGTTGGTTGATCCTGGAGGTCGTCTGGCTCGATTGTGTTGCCGAGTTGGGCCGTGCCATTGGGCCAGGTGATGGAAAGCCTGAGGCTGGGGAGGAAGTCGTCAATGACTGGATGCGATTAGCGCTGAACATAGCCCTGTCATGTCGATCTGGAGACGCTACCTGTGGGAATGATTTGGGCGTCTTGAAGTCTGCAGCCAGTTAGACAATGTTTGCAGCTGCGATTGGAGACGTACCTTGCTCGGACATGCTTGACGTTCTTGGGGCCGTTGAGCAGCAGTGGCTTTTGCTCGGTTGGGAGTGCACACGCTGTTTGGCAGAGCTGCAGCAAGCAGAGAACCGTGGTGGAGACTTTGGACAGCATTTTGTGGGCGAGACGATTCAACACCAGCGTCGGGCGGGACTTGTCCTTGAGCAGCAATGGAGAGACGGCATCAAGCTTTATTGAACGTGGTTTCTGTGCAGAGGATTCCCCACCTGCGCTGTCGTCATTTGTGTTTCAGTGATGTAGATCGCACCGTCACATCCGGCAGAAGGCGCTGATTGGACGATGCCCGCCCCACGACCAACCGCAATGTAGACGTAATGCGCTTGTATTCAAGCTATCAGCTGTTCTAATTTACTCTGGGTATTCGAATATGACGCGCAAACTAAAGCAAGAAGAAAGCCACCAGAAAGAAGGACAGACGCCAGAGCTAACAGCTCTCGCCAGACTCAATGACTCGGGCGCTGCAGAAGGCATCGCTGTCGATGACGAAGCCCATGTTGCGCGAAATCTGATACTCGGCCAGTTCTTGTGCCCCACGCCCCGTCATGGTTCCTGTGCAATCGCGGAGCAGGATGCAGTCCCATCCGTACGAGTAGGCGTCGGACACGGTGCCAAAGACGCACTGATCCGTGTTGACGCCAGCAAAGAGCAGCGTCTGTTTGCCAGATGCTCGCAGATAGGCATGCAAAGGTTCCCTCTCCGACCACAAGCCGCTCATTCGTGTCTTGTCGAAGAAGAGGTCGCCGGGCTGGGCGACAGCTTTGAAGGGCGCGTAGAGGTCGGCGTTCCAAGTGCGCTTGAACAGGCATCTTCCTTGGCCGTCAGGTAGCTGAGCTCCCAGTCCCACATGCCATCCTAGCGTCTTGCTGAAACCGCGCTGGACAGCGGGAGCCATCTTGTTCAGGTCGACGTCGGTGATGCCCCAATTGAGCCAGGCAACCTGAATGCCTTGGCTGCGACATGTCTCGATGACCTTGAGCGTAGGCTCGACTGCCGCAATTCCTGCCGCGTGATCACGATATAGTGGATGGACAAAGTAGTTTTGCATGTCGACGACTATCAAGACGGATGTGCCAGGGTCAATCATGAAGCCAGTGTGGTTGTTTTCTTCTTCATCACACTCAAACACCATCTTTCGTTCTGATCCCCGAGACAGGTCAAACTTGTTGGTTGCCGGTAGGTAGAGCCATTGGCCCTGGCCTCCAAAGGGAATCGAGGCGGTGCATGTTATGGTGCCTACTGTAATGTCGTGTTGCTCTTTGGTTGCTGTAGAGGTTAGAGACTCCGAGGCCATGGGCGCGACAGTGAGGACACAGGAGAGATGGGAGATTTGTTTTGCTAGAAGTAGGAGATTTGTTTTTGCTAGTCGATAGGACGTGGACACCGGTAAAGGAGGCGGCTTTGAGTCATCGTGTTGCCTTTGTATTTTGGGTGCAAACGCCCCTTCTCTCTTTGTTTGCGGTGAGCGTGATAACGGTGCTTATCTGTCGATAGGCTTCCTTCGGCAAAGAAGGGCTTGGTCATTCCATGGCACAGTTCTTGGTCCGGAGCAATTCAGGGTTATCTATGGGGGAGGGATGATGCTGTTAGATGGATAGTAGTAGTACTCCCAGCGGTACCTGATGTGGCCAGGGCGCTCAATGATTCCTGGGAAACGGCGGCGCATGACGATGAGGGTGGGCTCCCCAGATGTGGAGATAGGGCTGGGGAGAAGGTGGTTGATAATTCAGTGTGGTCGTGGTCGCATGTGCAGGTGCAGGTGCAGGTCGGCAGGCGATAAGGCTGGGTGGCGGTGACAGATAGCTAGCCGTCGCCTCGCTACTTGCCGCAGCCATGTAATCTGTCATAGCAATAGCGGTCGCGGTAGTGGTGGCAGTGGTGGTGCAAGTCGCGGGGTCGTCCGATAACGCCCGACGGCCAGCTCGACGCAGCTGGCAGGCTACGTGTCCAAGGCCGCGTCTGCTCAGAAGACAGCAGCAGGCGGGCTTCGAGAAGAGGGCTGTAGGGCTCGGTGGCTCGGGGCTAGGTGTACGTCGACGGCGACACGTGCAGCCACAAGTACCGTGGCAGAAGGGCAGAAAGTGGATGCCCCAACAAGGGCGTGCGGAGCCGGGCGATGAGTTGTTCGGAAGGCTTGGCGCACCGACCGTTTCGACCGTTTTTCCCAACACCAGAACAGCCCAGCCCGCCAGACCAGAGCAGCCCAGCCCAGCAGCCCAGCAGCAGGACGGGCTTTTGCGTGTGCAGCTCCAACGGCCGCTGGAGCGCAGGGCAGCCGGGCCTGCTGCAGGCTGCCGTGCTCCCTCAGCTGGTCGCAGAGCCGAGCCGCATGCATCGCGCGCTGGGGGTGGCGCTCGCAGCTGGCCGTGGCCATGGCCGTGGAGCGTCACGGCAAAGGGCCCATGGACCGCCGCGTGCTCGCCATGGCAAAAAAACAGCCGGGGCCGGGCCTGTCGCGTGTGCTGGCTTGCTGCGCTCCTTTATGCGAAAGGCATGGGTAGCGTGAGACGGGCGCAGCAGCACATGTGAATGGTGGATGCGCGCAGGCGGGCAGGCGGGCAGGCGGAGTGCCATGCTGGCCATGCTGGCCGTCACGTGCCCGCCGGCCTGCGAACTGGAACTTTCAAGCCAAGTGACGACGAAGCTGCAGCAAAAGGCCCTCCCATCAGCGGGCGGAATGGGTGCAAGCAGAGCACAAGCAGCTGCAAGGCGTGGGACGGCGGGGGGGGGGGGGGAGGGGAGGGGAAGGGCGAGGTTGGAGGGCAGATGCGGGGTCAGCCGTGTGATATAGGCGATGGCGGCGGTGGTGGGAGCAGAGGCGCTTTTGGTCTGCCTGGCCGACATCAACCCGGTCCCGTAAACACAACCGCAGCCGTACGCACCCAACCAGCGCTATGGCGGCGCTGGGCGAGGAGCTCCTCAACATTGTCAACAGGCTGCAGGACCTGGTCTTCAACACCATTGGCAATGATTCCCTCGACCTGCCCCAGATTGTATGTGCGCCCCAGCCCCAAGCCCCCATGCGGTGAGCCCCAGAGCAGATTTTACCCGCCGCCCACGCATTCGCCCGGAACGCTGCTGACGGCCCCAGGTTGTCGTAGGATCACAGTCGTCGGGAAAGTCGTCGGTGCTCGAGAACATTGTCGGCAAGGATTTCCTGCCCCGTGGCAGCGGCATCGTCACCCGCCGACCGCTCATTCTCCAACTCATCAACCTGCCCAGCGAGCGCGACGACGACGACGACGATGAAGTCCACGTTCCCCACACGCCCGCGAGCGTTGCCGGCCAGCAGGAGTGGGGAGAGTTCCTCCACATTCCCGGCCAGCGCTTCTACGACTTTGCCGACGTCAAGCGCGAGATCGAGAACGAGACTTCGAGGATAGCAGGAAACAACAAGGGCATCAACAGGCAGCCCATTAACCTGAAAATCTACTCGCCCCACGTCCTGAGTCTGACGCTGGTCGATTTGCCTGGTCTGACCAAGGTTCGTCATGCCAACTTTTTTTTTGCATGGCCGGCATGGAGCTAACGGCCCTAGGTCCCCATTGGCGACCAGCCTTCCGACATTGAGAAGCAGACACGAAACCTCATTACCGAGTACATTGCAAAGCCCAACAGTGTTATTCTTGCCGTCTCCCCCGCAAACGTCGATCTGGTCAACTCGGAAGCCTTGAAGCTCGCCCGCCATGTCGACCCCATGGGCAAGAGGACCATTGGTGTCCTCACCAAGCTCGATCTCATGGACCACGGCACAAACGCCATGGACATTCTCTCGGGTCGTGTCTACCCACTCAAGCTTGGCTTCATTGGTATTGTCAACCGATCACAGCAGGACATCCAGGGCAACAAGTCGCTCGCCGATGCTCTGCAAGCCGAGCGCGATTTTTTCCGAACCCACCCCGCATACAGGAACATGGCAAACCGCTGCGGTACCCAGCTCCTCGCCAAGAGCCTGAACCAGACGCTCATGGCCCATATCCGCGACCGGCTGCCCGACATCAAGGCTCGTCTCAACACCCTCATGGGCCAGACGCAACAAGAGCTGGCAAGCTACGGTGATGTCACCTTTACCGGAAAGGAGCACCGCGGCTCTCTCATCCTGCAGCTCATGACTCGCTTCGCTTCGTCTTTCATTGCCTCCATCGACGGTACCTCTACTGAAATCTCGACAAAGGAGCTGTGCGGTGGTGCTCGGATATACTACATCTTCAACTCCGTCTTTGGCAACTCGCTCGAACAGGTTGACCCGACCCAGAACCTCTCCGTCTTGGACATTCGCACAGCTATCCGCAACTCTACAGGTCCACGACCCAGTCTGTTCGTTCCCGAGTTGGCCTTTGACCTCCTTGTGAAGCCTCAGATCAAGCTCTTGGAAATCCCCAGCCAGCGTTGCGTTGAGCTCGTCTACGAAGAGCTCATCAAGATCTGCCACACCTGCGGCTCGACTGAGTTGACGAGGTATCCCAGGCTGCAAGGCAAGCTGATTGAAGTTGTCTCGGACCTTTTGCGAGAACAGCTTGGCCCCTGCTCAGGTTACGTCGCTTCTCTAATCGATATCCAAAGGGCCTACATCAACACAAACCACCCCAACTTCCTTGGGGCTGCTGCTGCCATGTCGTCTGTCATCAACGACAAGGAGCAACGGGAAAAGAAGATTGCCATGGAGGCTGAGAAGAAGAAGCGAGAGCAGAGGAGACTAAAAGAAATGCAAAACGGTACCAATGGAGAGGGCACAGAAGAGGGCGAAAATGGCGAGGGTGCTACGCTCAAAGCGCTTCCTCTCCGAAAACATCAATCGCAAACCAGCCGCAGCATGTCCCCGGCTGTCGGACGAATGGTGAACGGATCTCAGAGCACAACGGCAGCACTCAGCAGCCGCAACCGGTCACCTCCGGGCACGGCACGCGACAGCTTCCTCAACTACTTCTTCAGCAAAGACAGCAACACCGCATACCCCAACCCACAAGTCGGAGCACAACAAATGCTTGACAACCGGCCAGGCAGCCGACACGTCACCCAAAATACCGAGCCCAGCTTTGCACAAAGCATCCGGAGAGGTGATAGCAAGCAGCCTGCCCATGTCCTGGCCATGATGCCAGCAGATGACGACTATGATGCGCCATCAAGTACTGCTTACAGTGCTCCTCCTCAAAGCCCAAGCGTGGCAGGAGCAGGAGAGAACTTTGAAGGCGGTTTCGTAAGTTCCTACCCCACGTGGCCCGTTGGCACAGTGTACTAATTCTCGATAGCCTTCCAACCCCGAGCAGGCACCAGCCCTGACAGAGCGCGAAGCCCTTGAGACGGAGCTGATCCGCCGCCTCATCTCATCCTACTTCAACATTGTCCGAGAGACAGTTGCTGACCAAGTGCCCAAGGCTATTATGCATCTCTTGGTCAACCACTCAAAGGACGTTGTACAAAACAGGCTCGTGTCGACGCTGTACAAGGAGGACCTCTTCCAGGAACTGCTGTACGAGGACGACACGATCAAGGCTGAGCGCGAAAAGTGCGAGAAGCTACTCAAGACATACAAAGAGGCTGCCAAGATTGTTGGCGAGGTTTTGTAAAAGGTTAACGTGGTTGGATATAACGAAATAGAAGGATATGGGCTCACTGTAGGTTTTTCATGATGTGCGACTACCCAGCCTTTACCCCTCCCGGCTGGCTGCCGGTATGGATGGGTCGGATCAGTACAGGTCCGAGTAAGTGGCTTGTGGGGATGGGTGAAGGCTACGAAGCGTTTGGAGGCCGAGGGCCGGCCAGGGTGAAGAATGTCTTGGCACCTTTTCTTCGTCGCTTTTTATTCCTACTCTTCTGCTGCCCTGCTATGTTTTGGATTGCCAAGGGTGGCAGGGCGTTTTACAAGGCTCTGCTTTTGGCTTGATCTGAAATGAGTGTAGCATAGCACCTGCGCACGGCGGGGGCAAGGGTGGAGATGAGACATGTATAGAATATAACGTCTTCCGACATGTACACAGAGCGTGCCTCGGAAAATCAATAAACTTCAATGATTGTTGTGCAGTCAACAGACACATCCCTGTGACGCAGCGTGGGGCAACTCTTGGTGGTCCGTTGTCAACACCTTCATCACCCTATTTTGGTAAGCGACGTTTATTACTAAAGGAAGTAAGAAATGGTGGTGTTTCGACCATCCAAGGAGTCGTCCTATGGGAGGAGAATGGCGGCTTTGATAGCACAGCGTCAAGACCAAAAAAAAGTAAGTCTATGCTACCGTTGAACTCTGAAGCATGTATATTGAAAACGTGATCAACCCGACGTCTATGTTGTACAAAAAGGTACAGAGTACAGCGAGATTGCTATCTCGTAGATGTCGTACCACTCTTGACTAGTATTTTGCCCTTCCACCAATCTGCCTCTCGGCTTGGCGAAGGGACGGCCGCATTATGTCCATGCTAACGTATGAAAACATGACCTCTCCCAATGCGCTTATTTGTCGGTTATGCCAAGGAGTGCGTGAAGATCGGCGTTGGGGTCTTTCGGGTCGACGCTTGCTGTTGCGGGAACAATGTCAATGCACTTGTCCTGATAGCCTAACACACAAAAACAAATTCCTTCCCACCACGCTGTGACGTACCTCCTGATGACTTTGGCTGTTCTGAGGGGTGGTCTCGTGCCCATTGCTCCTTTGCTTGCCTGATCAACGCCTGCTTGTGCTCCCACTCCTTTTGTGCGGCCTTTGCCCTATCGGCTGCCGATAGCGAAAGCTGGTGGTAGGCACCGTAGAAGACACCGAATCCGAGGGCGGACCACCGGAGGACCTGTAGTGCACCCGTTAGCCGTCAAGTCACATGTCCAGCCGCTTGCACGCGGCCCAGATGAACAATTCCCGGGGATGCTGGAGGCGGCCTCGATGGGGAGGGGGAGGGGGAGCGTACGTTGACACCGACGGACGTGGACATTGTGACGGTCGTTGCGAGGGCTTGCGATAACCGCTGGCGAGGTCGTAGATGTCCAATGGCAGGTATTCCGGACGAGCGATGACTATGCACCGCGGGGTAGGGGCCGGAGGGGTGTGACGACGGCGTCGGGGCGGATGCGGGTTGGTGGGCGTTGAGCTGTGAAAGTGAGGTTGGACCTGGCGCAAGATTTGGTCGGCACTGCTCGCTGTCGAGCTAGTGCCCCGTCCCTGAACAAACATCTTGGCGCGACGACGTAGCAGACAAACCAACCCCCCCCCAGCGCGCCCTCTTTTGCTCCCCGCCCGCCACCTTGCTGCCCTGAACCCGAGCGCGGCGACCAGAGAAGAAAGAAAAAAAAGGATACCAGAGGGAAACACGAGCCACGAAACGCCGATTCTGGATTGCCCCCGGCGACTGATCGACCGCGACACACAAACTCCCTTCCCCTCCCCGCTACAACGTCTCACTCTCCACACCTCTCTCCGCCATGGAGTCCACAATGCAGCAGCGGCGGGATGAGATCCTTGCGAAGAAGGCCAAGCTCGCCGAGCTGAAGCGCCAGCGCGAACTCAGGAAGGCGGAGACGGCGAGCAGACAGTCGCTGACTGGCAGCCCCCTTGGAGAAGTAGGGAACACCGTTCTGCACTATCCGCCCCGGTCGGCTGACAAGCATGCTATCAGGTCCTCTCACCAACACCAAGGCGAAGCGAAGACCTTGACCGGCGAGCCGACGTCAACACCCTCATTAATAGTATTCTGGGGGAGAGCAGGCCGGGGTCGACGGGCCCTGGGTCGCCCGCCGGCGCAGGACGAGCAACGCGGCCGACGTCAGTGGTCAGCGCAAGCCAGCTGAGCAGCGATGAAGGGTCCGCGGGCTTTCCGCCATCGACTGGCATGATTGACCGCGAGATGCAGACGCTTTCCATCGGCCCGCTGGCCACAGTCTACGAGATCGACGGCCAAGTCACAAACGAGGTCAAGAAGGAGAAGGAGATTATAACCTACAGCAAGGGCGTACAGGCAAGCATAGATTGGAGCCCCTCAAAGGACCGTGGCATAGGCGGCACCGACAGCGAGCGCGACGAGAGCCCCACGCGGTCACCAAAGAGCAAGAGGCTGAGCCGGAGACAAAAGGAGCGGGACGAGGAGATTCGCACCCAGCTGCGAAAGGAGATTGAGGAGGAGATCAAGGCTCTCCAGCAGGCGCCGCAGGAAGGCGCGCCACAAGCGGGATCAGAAGAGAACTTTCCGTTCAAGACGCTGACCAACGAGGAATTGATGGCTGTGGAGAACTCGGAGGAATTCATCGGCTTTGTAGAGCGGAGCACAAAGGTCCTGGAGCGAGCCCTCGATCAACAACTAGAATATGATATCCTCGCCGACTACGCACAGGGGGGTGTGGACGCGGATGACTCGGATGAGGGCTATGGCTCAAGCGGAGGCAAGAAGGGGAGACGGATAAAGGAAGTTGCGCAGTTCTGGGACGAGCGATGGAGCAAGAAGAGGATGATTTCCGATCTGGGCTTCTCGACAAAGGTAGGGAAAAGAATCGCCTTGTGCTGCAAAAACATGACTAACTTGGGTAAAAGTTCCCAGAGCTTGTCCTTGCCTCGTACACCAAGAACCCATCCGCTCCCCACGACCCCGACGGCCTCGTCCAAGTGTGGAATCTGCACATGCACGACCGCCCTGAATACATATTCCACGCTCAGTCTGATATCCTCACCGCAAAGTTCTCTCCGTTCCATCCGAATCTCATTGTAGGCGGCGCTTATTCGGGTCAAGTCCTGCTGTGGGATACCCGTGCAAAGTCGGCGCCTGTACAAAAGACGCCCCTCACAGGATCTGGCCACACACATCCAGTCTACTCACTAGATATCGTCGGTACACAGAACGCAAACAACATCATCTCTTGCTCCACAGATGGTGTTGTATGTGGCTGGACAGTCGACATGCTTTCGCAACCACAAGAGTTCCTCGAACTAACATCACCCCCACCGGCAAAGACGGACGACATGGCAGTAACCAGCATTGCTTTCCCGCAGTCTGATCCGACATATTTCCTTGCCGGCACAGAAGAGGGCTCCATCTACCCTTGCCATCGGTACGACCGTGCGGGTGCAAAGGCCGGTGTAGACGGCCGTGTGAAATACGCTGGCCATGCAGCGCCAGTCATGAGCCTCGACTTTCACCCGGCAAAGGGCCAGATCGATCTTGGCGATCTTGTCCTGTCATCCAGTGTCGACTGGAGCGTCAAGCTGTGGAAAGTCCGGCCTCCGGCTGCGACAGGCGCAACAAACGTGACACTACCTGGTGCTGCACAACAAGTCACGCCTGTCCTAGACATTGCGCGCGAAGATCTCGTCTATGATGTCCGGTGGTCACCTGTCAAGCCTTCGGTCTTTGCTCTCGTCGACGGAGCAGGTAGTTTGGAAGTTTGGGACATTAATGTTGACGTTGAAGTCCCTGTGCAGTCTGTCAAGCCTAGCGATGGCAAGAGGGGTGCATTCACAAACATGCCGACAGGCTTGGGCTACATGAACCGAAGTCTCAACAAGCTAGCATGGGAGAAGAACGAGGGCCGGAGGGTAGCCGTCGGTGGCATGGATGGCGTCGTCACCATCTTCGAGGTGGGCGATGATCTGGGAGGCGTACAGACACGAAGCGAGGAATGGAGCGGCGTTAAGAGGCTGGTAAACCGCCTTGAGGGTCACGGTGACGGTGTCAACGGGAAATAAAGCTTCTGCACGCCCAATCCTCTTTTTTGAAACTGCCACAGACAGAGACAGGGTTGATGATGGATGGGCTGTGCGACACAATAATACCCCCTCAGCTTCTTTTCAGCAAGCAGAGCATCGTTTTGGAGTCGGTCAGTTTTTTTTTCTCACCTTTTCAAACCATACCCCCATGTAGTATCAACCATAGTTTTTTTCTGCACCACACACCACACCACACACAGTTCAGAGTAGATATATTTCGCTCTCGTCTCACGCAACGACACATGCCATGTGCAACACCAAATGACAGCAGGCCCCTAATACATGTTCCCTTGCTCCCTCCCCCCCCTCCCCAACCCCCTTTTCCAGTCTCAGTATCAGTCTCACAAGAACACCACCGCCTCGCCAACAAATCCCAGTCCAAGAAACGTCTTCCGTCGCGCCCGCGCCCCCGCACAATCGACCTTTTTACCACCCACATCACATCCACCCTCAGCATGAACTAAACCGAACCTCGTACATGATCGAAACGGCATCAATGTGGGTTTAACCGCATTGCCAGTCTGGATACCCGCAATGCACCGGGTTGTGTATGTAGTGTGCATGGATGGAGATGCGGGGGTGATGTAGGTGCCCTTGCTGCTTTTGTTACAGTGGGATTTTCTAGGGAGGGGGTGGAAGGGAAGGGAAGGGAAGTGGAGGATGGTTATTTAGCGTTTTGATGCTTCTTATTTCCTTGAGACGAATTCTGAACTTGGGTTACTGATATCTCATTCTTTTTCTTGTTTGATTTTGTTGATTTTGATTTGATTTTGTTCTTGGGAAATACTGAGTCAGAACGAGTAAGTATGCGTGATTCCACGGTGCTGAAACAGAAGCCCTCCTGTGCTGCTACGGCAAGGGTCGCTGGGGATAAAAGATGCATGTTTTGGTTTAAAAAAAAAAGAAAGAAAGTAGCTATGTATTCCTGGTTTCTTTTTTTTCTTCGGTCTTGCGGGTATGTACATGAACTGACGACTTTTATGCAGTGCAATAACGTCTTGCGTAGCGGCTGGAGAGGCCTACTTCCCTTACACTAGCACCACACCAACGTCCGATTACACGTGCCTGTGCGAACAGTTTCTCTGGCACATCGCATGTTATCAGAACCACGGATTAGATCCCTCGACCTATCTGAAGTGCGCGTCTACGAAAACGAATATGGAGGTGTTTTGCCGCGGCACAGCAGCGCGAGATGTGAAGAGCGAGCATGCAAAGCAGAAAAGACAGCTCAACGACTTTCTGTCGAGTATCGCTGGCGATGTGTCTTCCGCACTGGCAGCCAATCCGCTTCAGATTCCAGGGCTCCCGAATCCGACAAAGGCGACGGGGGCTGCGTCGAGTAGTACCGCAGTGGCAGCGAGTAGTAGTGCAGAAGGAGCGACTACGAAAGCGACAGCCGCGCCGAATGCAGAGTCAGACTCTGCAGGTGTTTCTGGAGGTCTTATTGTCGGCGTGGTGATAGTTGCGCTTGCGGTACTCGCTTTGGTAGGGACCTTTGTGTCGCTGTTTCTCCAGCATCGAAAGAAGAAGAAAAAGAAGAAAAACGGCGATATGGCTCCGTTTGCAGATCGAGCCTCGAGTCCTGGAGTTTCGGCATCTGGGGATCCATCTACGTCCTCGAGGAACGTTTTTCCGGATGTGTCTCAGCGAAGTGCTCACCCGAGCACTGCTATGATGTATATGAGTGCAGTCGCTGCTTCGGCTGGAGGTGCGGGCATAGCAGGAGGAAGTGCGATCACTATACAACGCAAACCAGTCAGATCACTGCCCGGAGACAGTCATCACTTGGAGAAGCCGATCAATAAGATTTGGGAAATCGATGGGAGGGAAATACCACGTCCCCAGGAACTTAGCGCGGAACGGAGTGAAGAATTTCATCTGAGCGAAGAGCAAAGACAGTGGCAGGAGCAGAATCACGTTGCGTACAAACCGCCTGATGGAGAGTTTGTGGGCAATCGGCCGATCAACTAGGTCTTGTAGGGTAATCACGACGCCTCTTTTCGTTCCCTTGGGATCCAGTCATGGTCTCCCAAATACTGCCATTCATGAGTTGGTTGACCTTTCGCTGTTTTCTATGACTGCAGGTCGTCAAAAGCTGCAGGAAAGTCGAGGTTGAATCCGTAGTCTGAAAATGTCCAGTCGATCTGGGAGTAGGGTGCATCGATACCAGGCCAGATCTCGATGAGCTGCCTCTGGAATGCTTCGTTGCTGTACGGAGGTTGTATTTCTTGCGGCACCATCTCGGTAGGGTAAGAAAGTGGGATGCTTTGGTTTGGCCCATTTGAAATCAGGGCATGGTTTTGCTGTAGAGGAAGACTGTTTGCTGTGGGGATACCCTCTGGCTCAAAAGCAGGGCCTCTATTTTTCAACGTCCCCGAGCTGATCAGCCTCCACAGTCGTTTCGTAAGCCTAGTAACGCCTCTCACGCTCGTCCATTGCTGGCTGAGGCTATCCAACGCGTCACAACATTGGCGAAGATCTGACGATGCTGCGTCTATGTTTCTTTCGCCGTCATGTAAAGCACGGTAGATGACTGTCGTTGCCATGGACATTGCGTACGGTATGAGTGGAAGCGGAGGAAGGCATTCTAGGCCCGTTTGAGACACTATTTGGAGCACGCGGTCGGCGGAAACAAGGCGCCGGTTGTATTGCACTGTACCGGGGCCGCTGTAGCGGCAAGACAGCATTGCAGCGACATGGTACCATATCTCCAGGTATGCTGATCATTTCAGTACATGGAAAAGCTGACCCGGGAATTCTCTTACCTCGATGCGACATATGGAAGTGGTCAAAATTACATCCAGAGGTGACTTCTGCAATGGATGGGAACTCCCTGCATTGATCAACACGGCACTTGGAGCCAGCTTTGTACGCCCTCGTCGCCATTTTCATAAGATCGCCCAAACCCAACGCCACCGCCATGACCTGTGAACGATAGCGGTCCCGGTGGGGCTTTATGCGCTCAATGCCAATGTCAGCATCGTCGATGAAAAAGGGCGCCGCAGCCAGGACTGGTTTGCCCAAGCGGTCGAAATTCCGAAGTGACCACCATAGGTACTCACACCTATCCTTCTCAGGGTTTCCGGGGATCTTGAGATGTATGCACATGGACCATGCTTCGCAGATGGCTTGGGATAGATAGCCTGAGGCCCGGTCGTCGCCAGCTAGCCCGTCGTTATGCAGATGCATCAGGGCGAGGATTTGTATCTTTACAACGCGGTCTGGCTCAAGGTCTGCTTTTATAGCCGCATCTAGACCCGCTAGTAACTTTGACGCGAAATCTAGAGGCTCAAGAACGGGACCAGATTCGGTCAAACGCAGAAACGGGGCTGCCTGTTTGGCCTTGCAGACAACAAGGCACATTGCCTTTACCAGATACGGAGAAGCCTGTCCATTGCTATGGTCTCGGAAGACGCTGGCTCCATCAGTGACTGGGGTAAGGTCGTCTAATACAGATGTGTATAGAGGCAAAAGTGCGTCGGTCGTAGATCTCGGTAACGTGACAAACGCACCCTCGTCTTCAAGATATCTCCGATGGGCTTCGGAAAGCTTCTTGGGTGTGGCGCGAGTCTTGTGTTGCTTGTACCATGTCAATCGACGCTGTGCTTCATACGCTGCCGAAGGGCTGGACGCCGAGGCTTGTGGTGAAGATTGTGTAGATTCTGCATGGGATTCTGGTAGATGGGCTCTTGATCCTGATTCTGCATCTTCCGACAGAGCTGCGAGAACGGAGCCGGGATTGTATTCGCTCACACGGCCAGGACTCGGAGTTGATTTGCGAGTAGTGTTGGTCAACGGTGGCGTTTTCTCGGAACTTTCCCCACGTTTCGAACAGCCATCCCTAGAGTGGTAGCACCGCTTCTTGCGTGAGCGGCAGGTCGTACAAGCTGCTGCTGATCTCTTCCTCGGTGCTCTTTCGCCCGATTGCCAAACAAATTCCATTTTTTTCCAAGAATGCGTGGGGTCGGCCAAGTCCAGCGGCTCAAAGGTGAGGAAGCGGGTGCAGTCCGCATTTGGCGATGACGAGCGGCTCTCTGCAAGCTACAGTGGGCACCTTCATGAGCTCGACACTTGTTTGGGCGTTGTTGGTCTCGATTGTGCAGTCTCAATCCTATGCCGACCCAAATACAGATAATGCCGCCTTCCCCACTGTATTCATTGGGGTTGGCGCGGGGAAGACAGCCCCTAAACCCTTTCTGGGGCGGCCCGCCCGACCACTCATGACAACCACCTGAGTATCTGCAGCTTTGCGGACAATTTTACACAGCACGAGACCTTTTTCTGGAGTCATTGCTTCTTGATTGGATATTCGATCAATATTGGGGTATATGCGTTGGTAACCCCAGTTTTTGTAAACATCACGCACCGATGGTATAAGTGCTAGCATTTCACCACTGAGTTCTTCACGCACCATCTTCTCGCATTCCCTTTCTTTAGCACATCATGTCTTCTCCACAAGTTAAGCGCTATGTCATTGTTGGCATGGGTGTCCGCTCAGCCTTCTACTACCAGAGCATTATCAAAGACTTCAAGTCAACAGCCACAATAGTAGGCATCTGCGATACCAACCAAACACGCATGAATGCAGCCAACGACCGAATTGCTGAGATTGGGGGCGAGCGTGTGCCAACGTACAAAGCAGAGGACTTTGACAAGATGGTCCAAGAACAAAAGGCAGATGTCGTTATTGTTACTACCATAGATCGCTTCCACCACGTTTACTGCATTCGGGCCATGGAGCTAGGTTGTGATGCCATCACGGAGAAGCCCATGACCATTGACGAAGAGAAGCTACAAGCCATGGTTGATGCGGAAAAGAGGACGGGCAAGCAGGTGCGCGTCCTGTTCAACTACCGATACGCGCCACACCACACCAAGATGCGCGAGCTCATTGACTCTGGAGTGATTGGCGAGATTTCCACTGTACACATGGACTGGATCCTCGACTGCGCACATGGTTCAGACTTTATGCGCCGATGGCATCGAAACAAGGACACGAGCGGTGGTATTCAGATGCACAAGTCGATCCATCACTTCGACCTGGTACACTACTGGCTCAACACCGAGCCTGAGCTTGTCTACTGCCTGGGTAGCCTGCGCTTTTACGGCCGAGAAAGCGCTGAGCGGCGTGAGGAGAAAAATCTCGGCGAGCGCTATCTCAACAACGAAGCTGCCAAAGACGACCCTTTTGCCATTCACATTGACCAAAATGCTCAGCTGAAGAAATTGTACCTGGAAGCTGAGCACGAGGACGGCTACATTCGCGATCGGAATTGCTTTGCCGATGGCATCACAATTGAGGACAATCTTTCCATGATTATCAAGTACAAGAACCAAGCTGTCATGACGTACAACACATATGCATACGCACCATGGGAAGGGTATCGCTGTGTGTTCAATGGAAGCAAGGGTCGTATTGAAATCAATGTGGTTGAGGGCGGATATTCTGCCGGTGGAGAAACCGTCACCAATGAAGGAGTCGGCGAGCTCGAAGCGAATTACATCCAAGGAGGCGTGGAAAAGACAAACATTGTCGTCTATCCTCTGTGGGGCAAGCCCTATGTTGTCGATGTCGAAAAGGCGGAAGGCGGACATGGCGGCGGAGACCCTCTTCTGCTCAAGGACGTACTTCTCGGTGACGGAAAGGACAACTTCAAGCGCGCTGCATACATTCGTGATGGCGGTAATGCTGTGTTAGTAGGCGTTGGAGCGAATCGCTCCATGGAGACGAGCATGCCGGTGAAAGTGCAGGATCTGGTCAAATGGTAGTGAGATTTGTGGCGAGAAAAAGCGTAAAATCAAACATTTGAAATCCAATATTTTGGACGATAAAAACTCCATTTGGCGTAGGATTGACATGTCCTGAGATAGCAAATATATGCAAAATATTGAAAACGGAAAAAGGAATGACGTACCCCTTAACTAGCCTGTCGCATTCAATATGCCACAAACCCTTAGAATAGCACCCTCGACATACCGCATATGCAGGTATTGCGCGTCCTTGCAAAATCTCCGTGTGAATGCCGACAGCAACGGAAATGCAGCGTTGTATCCGTCCAGTCGTGTCGCACCAGGACACTGCGGAGAGCCGAGACTTGCGTATGCCAACCAATCATGCGCTACCACGGCAGCAGATCCAACCACGTCCGCCGTGGATCTAAGCTGCTTCGGTGCATAGAGTACGCCACATTCTTCTCTTTTCAGGCCAGGCTGGACGCCAGAAGTGAGCTGAGACGATGGTTTCGGACAATGGAGTGTGCGAGGTGGCTGTGGTGGGGCTGGGAATACGACGCGTGAGTGTAAAAGGCGTGGAGCAGACCTTTTATGTCTGCCTTGGAAGCGTAGACACGAGCATTCGACAAGCAGTTTCAGTAGTCGTGGTCGAGAGAAGAAGCAGCAACTGTACTACCACGTTACCTGGAAGACTGGAAGGCTGAAAGTACCATAATCACCATTCCAATCGAGGCCCAACATTCCGACAACCAGGAAGATGATATCGTCACTCCAAAAAGCGATGCTCCTCTCCCTCGTGGGCATCGTTTCCGCGCAAACAAGCACCTGGGGTGAACCCTTCACGGTCGAAGCGTCCAATCTCCCCGCCACTTCGACAGAGGTTGCGCTGCCCTCGGCCTTGATACCACAGGCAACAACTTCAACATGGGGCCAGCCATTCACAGTAGAAGTATCGGAATCTGCCCCGGGCACCACGCGCACTGCGGTCCTTAGTATCTCAACACCGCAAGCATCAACCTCATCGTGGGGCGAGCCATTCACGGTCGACAACAGTGCGACATTTACTTCGGTCGTGACTTCAAACACCGGTACAGAGAGCCTGGCTGTCGACACGGTGACACCAACGCCACTTGTATCGAATTCTACAGTCGTAAGCGTGAAGACGAGTTCAGCGTCCAGCACAGCGAGCACGAGCAGTACGACGACGGAATCCGAATCTCCTACCGGCAGTGAGAGTTCAACGGGTACTTCGCGACCTAGTACAGTTCCTGGTGCAGCAGCGCCGCTGGGAAGCGTTCACAAGATGACTGTGGCTGGTGTAGTCGTATGTGCTGTGGCAATCATATTTGCTTAGCCGGAAGGCGACATGAAGCAGGGAGTGAGGGAGCGAGCGAAAGGGAGGTTAATGCGGAAGCGATCAAGAGTACAGGAAGGGTGCATAATGCTTAAGATGATGGGATATTGCTTGCATTTGAGAATCCAGATTATGGGACATTATGGCAAATCATGAGCATGACTCTCACAAGAGCTTTTTTTCTCCTAGAATAGAATTCTTGTTTCAAAACAATTTTCTTCTTCTAGAATACAAAAAAGAAAATGATCATGTGATTTTCAATATCCAAACTATACTACCAACTACAAAACTTAATGCACTGTTGTTGTTTTGCAAACTTCCTGAGGCAGCAAAATCGGTAGGTATAAGCGATATCGGAAACGACCTACAGTGACCGTGCGCCAGATGGTCATGGTCGCCAGTTGGACACCCCCACCACAACAATAACAAAACTTCAACGCGTTATAACTCAACTAATATAAACCTAATCTAAGAAGCGATTAAAGAAATTAAATCGCAAGAGCTAAGAGAATAATTCTTGTACTAATAAATTGCTAAAAAGTACAACGTACTACAAACAACGCTAATAAGACAACACAAACACTAAAGCGACGACTATGGCCTACGTAACTAATCCCTCTACCTAGAACGCGAAGCTAAGCTTGTATAATACGTTAAAACGCTTACTAAACAACGTTTTGTAACGATGTTACAACTTCGCCAAGTATTGAGCCAATCCCAGAGCCGGATCGGAGGAAGTACCTG